CTTCAGCAGCTGCTCACTGTTCTTAACCTCATCCACAGACGTCGAGCTATTGATATCGAATGTCGAGGAGCCGTCAAGCAGCGATTCGTTGAGTGTCAGCGATGAGGTTTGATTGGACGCAGATTGGGCGAGTGCGGCCAGCTTTGTAGTCAGCGCCTCGATCTGATCGTGCAGACTGGAGTTGAGTGCGTTCAGGTCGGCGACACGTTTCTCCGACTCCTCCTTCTCCTTTTGCAGCAGACCCTGCGCCTCGGCATTTGCCTTCTGGAGTTCATCGTGTGCCGCTTGCAGAGATTCGCGTCCACATTTCAATTGATTCAGTTCGTCTTGCACCTGGTAACAAATTTAAGAGTTATTATTGAGTTTCTGAGAATCGCATAGAGGAGCCCACATACCTTCAGGAAGTCCGCCTTGAACTTGGTCAGCTCTTGAATGTCAGCCGAGTGCAATACCATTTCATTGGCATACTTCACCTCGACGGCATTTAGGGATTCGGCCAGCGTGGAGTTCTCGGCGCGCAGAGTGCGTATGGTGCGACCCGATTCGGTTAATTTCTCTAGGACATTCTTCAGCTCCTCCTGGGCCACCTTCAGCTGGTCCGATTGATTGGTGGTCTTGCTCTGTTCGGTGACATTGGAGAGCAGCACCTCGGCCTCCAGATCGGTGACGCGCGTCTGCAGCTCAGCCTCAGAGTTCTTGAGTTTCTTGATCTCGGCCTCGGATTTGGCCACGATTTCGGCGTGCATGTCGTGCAGGCGCTTGATTTCGCTCTCCGCGGACTGGGACATCTTGTAGAACTGATCGCCGTGTTCGCGTGCCTTGGCCAGCTCCTTGGTGAGGGAATCGATTTCGATTCTGGCCTGCTCGTAGCGCAGCTCGAACTCACGCGCCTTTTTGTTGGCAGCTGTGATGGGATTCTCGTCCTTGGATGGGGTCAGGCTCTCCTGCAGCTTCTTGCTGAGATCGTTTACCTGATTGACCTTGACGGCGAGCTCCTCGCGCACACTAATCAGTTCCTGGTGCCACTTCTCGGCCTGCAGTCGCTCCTCCTCCTTCAGCTTGTTGGCCGTCTCCGTTTGGCGCTTGAATTCGTTGACCGTTTCGCGGAACTTCTCCTCCTCCTCCTGGAAGTGACGACGCTGTGCGGACAGTTCGCGCACCGTATCATCGAGGCGCTGTTCTAGACGCAGGCGTCCCTCTGTCTCGGAACGCTCCAGATTGGCTTTGATGAACTCCAGATTGTTTAGCAACAGCGCCTGGCTCTGGTGCTCACGATTGTAGCCTTCCTTTTCGGCCTGCAGACGGGCAGTTGTCTCCTTGAGCACGCGATTCTCGTGCCGCAGGCTGTGCGTCTCCGTTTCGGAGGCCGCCTGCTTGCGATGTGCGGTCATCACCTCGTCCTTGAGCATGTGCACGGTCTGCTCGTGCTTAATAATTGTCTTCTCGTAGTTCTTGGTGCGATCCTCCAGCGCAGCGATTTGCTGTTTGTAGGTGGCGATGCCCTTTTGCAGTAGTTCCATTTGCTCCTTTTGGAACTCGGAGGCGTTCATCAGCTTGCAATTGACGGAGGTCAGCTCGCGCACCTCCTTGCGCATCGAATCGAACTGATCCTGGACGAGTGCATCATTCTTGCGTTTCTCGCTGGTATAGTAGTCGTAGTTCTCCTTAAGAGCGGCATACTTCTTGGACTCATCCTCCAGCTGCTGTTCCAGGCTGCGTATGCGTCGCTCCAGCTTGGCCTCCGCCTCCAGCTTTTGCGTGTTCTCCACTGCCTTCGCTTGGTCCGCTTGCGACTCGTCTATAAGCACGGTCGAGTCGTCCAGATCTATAATCTGACTGCCCAGCTTCTTTTGGGCGTCGAAATAGAACTTCTTGTAGCGTTCGCACTTGGCCATCAGGGTGGATATTGTGTTGTTCTTCTGGTTAAGGGCCTCCTCCATTTCGACCAGACGCTTGGTGGCCTTCTCGAACTTCTCCTCGTACGCCTTCAGCTGCAGCTCATCATTCTTTAGCTCGTTGGCCTCCAGTTCGGTGGTCAGCTCGCGGATTAGCGACAACAACTTGACATTTTGCTCCTGCAACTCGACAATGGACTCGAAGGTGACCAGATCTCGACTGATGGCATCGCTTGAGTTGTGTATGAGTCCGGGCTGGGTTTGGTTGCGTGGCCGATTGACACCAGCACGTAGGCAATTGAGCTCGTCGAGTAGCAGGCAAACCTGGCGACTCAGATCGACCTGGGACTGCTTCAGCTTCTTGTTCTCCTTGACATGGCGCGTGACATCGAAGTGCGTCTGCTCCAGCTCCTGCTCGAGACTCAGCTTCTTGTCCACCAGTTCGTCGCGCTGCTGCAGCAGCAGCTGATGCGCCTCGGTCAGTTTGCTGTAGTCATCGTCCTGTTTCTTGAAGACTGGCGCACGCTCATTGATCTCCTCGACAATCGATTTGATTTGCAGCTTGAGCTGTGCGTTCTCGCGATTCTTGGCTTCCAGTTCTTCTGAGTTTTTGGCATACAACGAGTAGAGCTCGGTGAGCGACATGTCGGAGCGCATCAGGCGACTGGCAACAGCAGCCGTCGGCGCCAGCTTGCAAATGGCGCTCTCCAGGCTCTGCTCCTTGGCCTCCTTCAGCAGATCGTTGGCATGTGCAATTTCTGTTTTCAGTGCATCAATTTTCTTATTCATGGAGTTCAGTTCCTCGGCATGGTTCTGCTTCGCCAGCTGGAACTCAGTCTCCAGCTCGCCGTACTGATCGGTGGTTTCGGTCAGCATGCGCTTCAGGTCCGAGATGCCCTTTAGCAGCTCGTTGCGCTCCGTGATGTTCTCGCATTCGGTATTTTTGTAGATCTCGACCAGCTTCTCTTTCGTGTCGAGTTCCTTTTTGAGCGTGTCCACAAACTTTTCGGTTGCCATATTGTGCTGGAACATTGTCTCATTGAGAGCCTCGATTTTCTTGTTCAGATCCTCAATGGTCTTCGAATACTGTGCGTTCTGGCCTTGGAGTATTTGCAGCTCGTCACACTTCTCCTTGAGCCGCACCTCCAGGTGCATGATGTTCATGGCATGATCACGGCGCAAGTTCTGTAGCTCGGCATTGTTGCGATTCAGATCGCTGCTGAGCAACTGAATCTCGTTCTGCAACATGGAACGCTCGCTCTCCAGCCGGCGCTCCTTGATGTCCAGGGACACCTCCTTGCTTTGCACCTCATCGAGACGCGCTATGGCCTCACACTTGGCGGTGATGGCCGCACGCAGCTGCTGTTGATAGGTTTGCAGGTCCTGCTTGAGCCGCTCAAGCTCGCCATTCTGCCGCTCGATCACTTTAAGCAGCGAGTCACGCTCATCGACAAAGGACACCTTCTCCTTGCGCAATGTGGACAAGTTTTGATCGTAGCTTTTCACAGATTCCTGCAGCTGGTCACGTTCGGCAGACACTTGATCCAGCTGGGCGCGCAGCTCGGCTACATTTTGCTCAAGTTTGGTGAACTTTACCTGGTTATCGAGTATTTGGCTTTGCAGCTCTTCATTCTTCTGTTCTGTTTCACCTGAGAGAAGGAAAGAGAGAGGTGATGAGGGCAGGTCATATGCAGTGCAGTTGTGTAGAAGTAATAAATATTGCCTATAGTTGTATATTGATGCCCTAACAAAGCCACTTTACTCACTGAGACGATGCGCGGCGGCACGTTCTTTGCAATATTCGTCGAAAAAACCATCTATATAGGATTTCAGCTTTTGCTGCACGCCGGTTGGTAGCTGTTCCAGCTCAGCCGGCGCAAATATCTGTTCCAGCGACTGTGGACCACTGAGATCCATGTTTGGAATGCTTTTATTTATTGTACGCAATATTCAATTGTCAAATTTTTTCTTAACTTTGTGTGCAAAAAAAATAGATTTGCAAACGACGCGACGTACTGTGAAAATTGCGATATACCTGGCAAGTGTGTACCTATCAACTGGAATTGTGTTATTCAATTGAACAAATGAACATATTCAGTTATTTGTGAACGAACCTGTTCAGTGTTTCATGAACCATTGCAGCTGGATTGGTTTTGTTAAACACATACGTTTGGTACTTTAGGTCTTAATTTGCACATCAAAACAACCTCATTCATTAATACATTAAGGCAGGCAAACATTATTGCTTGAATTATGCTTTCATAGCATATTTGAATAATTTCGTGACGCAGCAATTTCTTCTCGTGAACTGAGAGCACATAACTTGGAAAATCCTAGCAATCGAGAAACTGAGTAGCTATATAATGGCATATAACAATTAAATAAATACACTGATTTAGCTAAACACTTTAAATTCATGATTTAAAAATGTTTACCACAATGAACTACAATGCGCAACGCTGACGTCAGTGTGTACACACTTGCTGCGGCTTGATATTTTTATTGCTTTGCACAATTCCTACTTTCATGTGCCGGCTTTTTTAACATATGAAATAAAACTCATATAAACAAATGAAACTGCTGCACTTACTCAGGCGATTTGCAGCGGCACGTTCTTTGCAGTATTCGTCTGAAAACTTCTCGATGAAAGCCGACAATTTTCCCTGTATATTGTCTGGCACTAGTTGCAGCTCCTCCGGTTGTAAAATGCTGTTCAACGACTGTGTGCCGTCAAAGTCCATGTTGTTAATAGCAAGTGTAACACTTTTAAATTGTTTAATTTATATTTTAACACAATTTCACAATATTATTTTGTCAAAAAAAATCCGAGCGCGACTCAGCGTTCTTCACCATACCGACTTAGCGATGTACTAAAGAAAATTAGAGACATCGATTACTACATAGAGGTGCTAATCGAAAATAATCGGTATACCGATACATCGTTAAACGCATGTTAGTGCTGCATATCGTGTAAAAGTATCACAGCTGGTCATTTAACAGCACTGTTAAGGCGCGAAAATTTAAATACTACTGTAAGGTCTCTGGAATTTAGGTTTTTATAATTTTACAGCCTTGATAAGTTTTCATTGCAGGAAATGCCATTTTATAAATATAAATTAAGTATTTTCTGTGTCATTAGTACATTTCTTTGTTATAAAAGCTATTTATTTTACGTTATTCAAGTGGGTCTTTCTTTTACCTACCGCAGCGGCTGCCAAGCCATGGCAGCTATTGCACACAGCGACCTCATCACATTATTGGCTTACATAACCCGAAACGTTGAGGCAAATCCAAAACAGACAGCAATCAGCATCAATGTGTGCGCTGCAGCTCTTCATTCAACGACGACAGAGGCAGAGGCAGCGTCTGGACCAACGTGTGCCGCCGCGCTTCATCTCTGATAAGCGGCAACTGCACCTACAGCGATATGTTTTCGCGATCACCAGGTACACTGGGAAAAATCGTATGGCCGCCAACCAAGCGGCTGGTTGTGTGGCCAACAGAGAATTTCTTGCAGTGCAACGGGCGGGCGATCTGCTTATCAATAATTTGTTTTCCTTTATTTTTTGTTTTTGCTGCATTTAGGCAGAGATTTGCTGGCGATAACGACTCAAGTGTCACACGCCCACATTTTTGGAGCAGCGGGCCAGAGGTTGCCGTTGCCGTTGCCGCTGCCTGGACCCATGCCCATGCATTTAGCTGAAGCCATTTGCACATGCGCCACGCCAATAAACTTGTACCCACCACCGAGGCACGCTTTGATCCTCATCCACAGTCTCCGACTTGAGCTCCAGCAACTCAAAGGGGGTCGGCACACGCTTGCCGCGTTTCGTTTTCTCTTCTTTGCTTTTGCGGTCTGGGCTGTGTTGCCCAGTCTGCCGCCGTCTCCTGTCCTGGCTTGGCTTTCTGGCCTGGGCTGGCCTGGCCTGGCCGGGTCTGGGCACTGCGCATAAATCGACGGACCCAGCGAGCGCCGGCGGCAATTATCGCGATATGATAAACAAATATTTTTGCATCTAACCCACGTCGCCGACTGAGGACCAACAGTTTCTGGCATTCTGGCGCTTAATTATGAACTCTGTGCCTGGCTCTTTTTTTTTTTTTTGGAGGGTTTTTCTTTTTTGTAATATGTGTGTGTAGTTAAGAGCTTTACGCGTGGCCGAATGCACTTTTACCTGGCTGGCAAAGTACCTGGCACTGTCGAGGGCTTGGCCTGGCCCAAGTTGTTGCAAGTATGCAATTTAGAAGCTTATCGCTCTTCGGATACGAATCGGTCGGCGTTTTGGCTGCATGCGAAGTGGGTGGAGGAATGATATAAAAATTAAATATGGCTCTATTTGAATATTAATATTTGTATACTCTAAAAAAGGGCATATTAACTATGAAATGTGTGTGGCAGCTAAAATAATGCCGTTGATTCTATAATGTATTTATGATCTTGGACAATTTGAAGCAAAGCTATTTTGTTAAAACTCTGCATAGATTGTTTTTGTTCTAGGCAGCGCATATGCCGCAGTCATCAGGATCGGATGACTACTATATCATATAGCTGCCAAAATATTTTGCGATATATTCTTATGCTTTTTTTTATAAAGATATTTTAATCAAACAGAGCCACAGCTAATTATGATACACTCCCAAATTATAGGCCACACCTAACTTATTGGTATATTATTTAAATTATATTTAATACTTTATATATATATATATATATAAATAATATGGTAAATTCTATAGGAACAATTGTTCGGAAAACAAGTTTTTGGTTAAGCAAACATTTTTTTAAGCTTAGTACAAAAATGTGTATAATTAGTATAGAATTATGCAAGGGTATTTAAACTTCGTCAAAACGGTTTTTTTTAAGGGTGGCTTTTGGCTGCAATTCATGAGTTTTATAATCAAATTGCAGCTAGTATTTACCTATTTTATGAGATGGGTTTATTTTCAAATTTGTACTCCTTATTATGGCATTAAAATTTAATTAACATAAGGCCTATATTCATTGTCTTTAAAAATTAAGATATCGCCCGACTAATAGCAACTAATATTGTGCAGGCGATTCGGGATTTTTTTTCGGAATATTTGGATTAATTTCAAATAGAATTCATAAATTGGAAATCAAATTTCTAAAAAAAAAATCAAAGTCTATGATCTTACAGATATATATTTGTTATTGGATATATATTTTTGTAAATATTTAAGCTTTTTTTATGGCTTTTATTTATGTAAATCCATTCTGGAGCACTTTTGGATATTAACTAATTATTTATTATATTTTTATGTAGATAAAATAAAATATAATAAAATACTTTCAAGTCTTTTATCAAATGTGCAAAAGGAAAGATACTCTGATAACTTTATATATATATATATATATCTTTATATATATATATATTTAACTTGGCTACAAAGGTTCCGCATATTACAATATTTGCATACGCTGCTCTGTGTGCGCGTGTGCTTGTGTGTGTTTGTGTGTGTGTGTATGAGCAAGCCATGTATTTGGGGCTGGCACACACACCAACACACACAGCCATTTGTGTGTCTCCACCAATTGAAACAAACCAAATGCAAAGTCGTCTCTCCCACAACACATTAAAAGCCGAGAACTGGTTTTCGTGCTTTCAGTGTATGCGACAACTGTCCAGAGCAGCAGCAGGTGGAGAGCAGGGGGGAGAGGGAGAGGGAGAGGGAGAGGGAGAGATAGAAGCTGTCGCAGCTCTCAGCTCAGCTCAGCTCAGCTTAGCTTTGCTCGGCGATCGGCGATCGGCGTCTATTTAAAATACTCGCAAAGCGGCAAACAGGAATATTAAAATAAGTCTGTTTCATTTGATTCAAAAGAACTTGCCGCACACACGCCTGCCGCTTCGGCTCGGCTCCGGTCGGCTCGGGCACACACTTGCCCCAGAATGAGACTGCGTTCGTTCCGCTTAGCTGGGCAGCTGACAGTGCCACTGTCAGTGCCGCTGCCGCTCTCTGGGGTCGAAGCTGCTCAGCTTCAAGCTGGGCCAAGACTGCGCAAAAGGTTTTGCTCGTGCGCTTTTTGGCCTTATGCATTCGACTGCGACTCGCGGCGAGATCTCAGTTCCGTTCACAGAGGAAGAGAGGGAGATAGAGAGAGAGAGAGAGAGAGAGAGAGAGAGAGAGAGAGACAGTGTGGCCGAGGGAGTGGGAGAGCGAGAGCGAACGAACCTAAGCCAAGTTTCGCCAGTTGCCAGTTGCCTGTTGCCAGTTGGCAGTTGCCAGTTGCCAGTTAGTTAGCTAGCGGTTCGTCATCGGCGTGGTTCATGTGTCTCCTCTGACTTTTGGCTGGCTACGTCTACGTCGTCACCGTCGTCACCGTCGTCGTCGTCGTCGTCGACTCCGGCAGCAGCTGCGTTGCGCTTATAATCATAAATATATCTACATACAGCGCGCGGCGTGTATCTGTATCTGTATATCAGCTATAATAGTATATAGGCCCGCTTGTGCATTTTCCCAAGTGTATTGTAAACTTGTGCGCCAACAACAACAACAACAACAACATCAAGCAGCAGCAGCAACAGCAACAGCAACAGCAACAGCAACAGCCTGCTCTCAGTTTGTGTGTTGTTTTGTTTTTTTTTGTGAAATGTTGAAGCCCTTGATTTTAAGCACCAGATACGTTCATTAGTCGTCGCAAGACTTTTCGTGATCGTAAACGCGTTTTTCGCCAACCTCTCTTGATCTTGGCTAACGTGAGATTCCAAAACCAGCAACAGCAGCAGCAGCAGCAGCTGCCAGCGGCAAAACAGTTAACAAAAAGCAATCCTTAAATCCAATATAAATTTCAATAAAAATGTGCGAAATACAAAATAAAATTCTATAAAGCCACAAAGTGGCCCAAAACAAAAAAAAAGTGTTGTTCACGAGCTCTGGGCTGATTTGTAATTAAGAAGAAAAAAAAATATCAAGCTAAAAGTAAAATCATTGCGAAAATTCTCAAGTATGGAGTGCTTAATGTGGGTTAGGGCCTAAACTAGCACAACAAAAACACACACACACACACACCCGCACAACAAATAGACACAAATTCACACATGCCAGTTAGAAGACAACAACAACAACAACAGAGACGAATGAGCAAATTTATGGCTGGTTGTTGTTACTCTGGGCCAAATGGTACCACGGCCAGCAGTCGCTTAGGGAAAAAACTAACGGAATAATGCAACATTAAGCAAAATGCTGCTGGCCCTGCTAAAGCTAAAGCAAAGCCCAAACCAGCAACAACAACAACAACAACAGCAGCAACAACAACAACAACCTGCAACCATCGTCGCCGCCTTCGTCGTCGTCGTCGTCGTCGTCGTCATCGCAGTCACCGTTACCACGAAACGTAGCTGTAGTCGCTGTTGCCGTATAAAATGGAACCCTCATATGATCACGAACATCCACATCATCTGCTAACAAATTACAAGTAATATTTACATTTTTCCCATGCTATAAAAAAAAAAAAAAACAAAAAAAAAACCAACTCTAACTACAACATTTTTTTTTTTTTCTCTCGCTGTTTAATTATATCCAACCGTAGCGAAGATACATATCTTTCAAGATAATAACCATAATGAAAAATGGAAAAATGCGCTGGTATGGGTGAAGAAATTCTCTAGTTGTCTCGTATATGTCGCTGGCTCTCCTAAATACATATATATATATATATATATATATATATATACATAGTGGTATATAAGCACAGACTACGACTATGACAGCCCAAGGTGGGGGGAGGAGGGGGCTGGCGCATTGCAAGTCTTAGTCACACACTAACGGAAAGGGGAGCCGGGGTATGGCTTGCCTTATATGTCTAGATATTTACAAAAGTTTTGCTTAGATTTAGAATTTGTTTCTACATAGCATGGCCACACTTAAGCCACCCCCTACCCGCGCTCCACCTGTAGAGACTCTTCTGCCAAAGCACTTGCACTTGTGTGCGTATGTCCGCTTTGCGTTTCACTGTGTGCGTTCTGTGTGAATATATGTAAATGTGTTAGTTAGTTAGACCTAGAACCAAAATGTCTTGACTCGCTCTCAGACTCGGAGTCGGACTCGGACTCGGAATTGGTCAAGTGGAAAGTAAACCAAGAGCGCCTCTCAGCATGGTCAGCAAGAAAGTATGAGAAAAACCATAAAAAAAAAAAAAACAAAACAAAACATGAAATAAATAAATAAAACAACACTATATATAAGTCGGGTAGAGAGGTCACCATGCGGTTTCGCTCATTAAAATGATTTAGTTTTGATCTAAACTCTCTGATAGCTGTGCATGATATTAACATAGCATTAGGCCAAAACATTTAAACAACCTTACGTTGCGTCCGGTTCAGATATCATTTTATATATACGGAATATATTAGGAAAGAAGCATACATACACACACACACTCATATATACTTGTATATGTGTACTTTTTAGACTTCTCGGAAGGCTGGCTTAAAGGGCAACATATTTTACGCAAGTCTGTCACATATTTTGTCACATTTTTGGAATTTTGTTTTTTAAGGTTTTTCTGCGCTCTTTGATCCTGATCTATAAATCAATCCATCTAATAGGTAGACACATCAATTTAACCCAGCTTCGAGGCTTCAACTCAATTGATTTGCATTTTCTAAGTAATTTTTTTTACAACTCCGTTTCGGACAATGCCGATTCATATAATCTTTAATTTAATTTCCCATTCTAAATGAGTTCTTAAACAAATTGGGTGCTAAAATATTTCAGTTTCCCTTCAAACTTGTTTACACAGAATTGAATATAAAAAAAAACATGATTACTTTCTCATGCTTCCTGCTAATAGGCATATAAATCAAGAGTCGACAGCTTAATTGTCGCTGAGACTTGGCTAATAAGTTTAATAAGTCCCTCTCCATCATTTTTACTATATCGTAAACGTTTAATAAAGGTTAATTCAGTGTTAACAACGTGTTGAAATATTTTGCAATTATAAACCAGGAGAGAATAATCGGCAGAATGCTAGGAAAGATAAATAATCAATTAATGAGTTAAATTGTTTAATAAGAATGTTAGAAATTGATAAAATTATTCAAACACAGTGTAATACAAGCTATCCTATTGTCAAACCCCAATTTCATTGAAAAGATAAGGTAAAAGCACCATGATTAAGGTTAGTCTAAGAACCTTTCATTTCCACAATCGGAAAGACTTTGCCAGCGAATGTAAGTCCTGGTTCCTTTCCGACACAGCTTTAACTGGTTGAGAATTGCAAGCGTCAAGCCAAAAATAAACAGCAAAGCGTCCATTTTCGGCGATTTTCATAAGACAAATATCAAAAATGTCTTTCAGAAGTTCTCAGAGATTTAAATAATTCAAATTACTTAAATTTTTCAAGCTTTAGTTGAACGCATTTTGCAAGCCAAATAACTGCACAGCATTTAAGCCCGATCTATATATATCCAAGCTATATATATATATATATATATCTAATTTTATGGCAGCCAAGCGCTGCGAGGGAGTTTTGGTATGTGCGTGATAAAATCCATTACATTTCAGTACATTTTTCTCGAGTCTTATTTTTTTTGCTGTGTTTTTTTTTTCATGCTCTTTAAATGGCTTTTGTGTGTGAGAACTGGGTCTTGGCGTTGTTGTCTTTGACGACGGCTGAAAAACCTCATTAGCCGAACCCATTCGCAGCCGCGTTCCGGCTTCGGCTTTCGGGCGCTTGGCCATTCGTGGATCTCGGGCCCTACCAGAAGAGAGTAGCAGCCCGCCTACCCCCAGGCCCCACACCAATGCCTGCTTCATTAGCTTAATTATGCACGAGAGTAGGAATCTTTAGGCCATATGCAACACATCGATCTCTCTCATATGTGAGACCCGAGACCTTAGGGCTCAGACCTGGTACTGAGCACGCGGTCTCAGTCTCTCTGTCAAGATATTGCCACAGGTAGCTGCGTTCACCTTTTGAGATTATGTGGTTGTTGTTTGGTTCATTAAAGCAGCGGCAAACGCGCTAAGATGGCGGTTGCCCGGGCCGGATGCTGTAGCTGTTTATGCTTATTGGTCAACAACAAGCAGCATCTACATACACACACACACGCATACACACAGATACACGCACACGCACACACAGGTACGCACACGCTTATGCATATGTATGCATTGCGACTGCGTCGTTAAGTTATTCCAGTACATCACACCTGGGCCGCAGTCGCCTTGGCACCACACAGCCAACCATCAGCGACAACAACAACCACACACAGGGCCAGCTCTTGGCCTGTCCCCTTCGCCCCGTCTCCCCGTCCACCCGTCCCCTGCCCGTAGCCAGACTGGTTTCTGTAAAGGCAAACTGAAATGAGTTGAAAAACAAATGTATTCGGGTTTTGGGGCGCCTGGCACCAGCAGCCAATAGACTCTGCAAATGGAGCAGAGCAGATGCTGCAGATCTTGTACACAGGCCACACCCACCCAGAAAACCAAAATGGCTTTTATTACCACAACTTTACAAGCCTCTGAACTGAATATGGCCGGCAATGTTGGCACTGCTCTTAATTAATGGCATCACCAATGAGCCAAGCAGTTGATTAGTAAACAAATATGTAAATGCAAAGTAGCAAATGGATAAAATGTAGAATCATCAAGAAATATAAAGAACCATTCGAAATAATTAAGTCTTAGCAGCCTTGATTTTGCAGTAGTTCTTTTGTTGTCGCTAATTAGTAGCTGATAAATAATAATATATATTGCTTGACAATAATCTATTGAAATCGCAGTCCTCACTAGATGAACTTTCTAGTAAGTCAGACATTAACGAAAGGAAGGAAGTCCAAAGTTTCCTTAAATACATGAGTTAATAGCTTGCAACTACAAATTCATTAAATACATGGAATAATGACTAATATATTAGCAATGATAATAATAAAAATAATTATTATATTAACAATATATATATAATAATAATAATTATATTGATATGAATTTAAATCATAACAATAATGATAATGAAAATAATAATACTGGCAATAATAATATTAATAACATTAATAATCACTATAATAATAAAAATAATAATAACAATACTAACAATAATGTGTAATGACTGATAATACAAATTTATAATAATAATATGAGTAACAACAATAATAATAATAATAATAATAATGATGAGTAATTTCATAAAAAATCTTAATTTATAACATGAATGAAAATAATAATATTGATAATGAATAATAATGAATAATGAATAGTAAAATTGATAATAATAATATAAATAATAATAAAAATATTGAAAACAATAATAAAACGAAAATAAGTATGATATGAATAAGTATGATTCGTATTATTTAACGAATTTCTAATAATAATAGTAATAGAAACTAATTACTTAAATATAAAATAATAATAATATCAACAATAAAAACAATGACAATAATAATATGTATACTAACAATAAAAATCATATACTTAGTCGAAATCCTGATCAAATTCAAGCCAGGCTAAGAAGAAAGAGCGAAATCCATAAAAGAATTTCTTTTAATTATAGCTGAAGCCAAAAATCGTGAAACCTGTTTATATATCATGGAGTCGTTAAAGCCTACCTATTACCAATATTATTGTTGTCATTGCTGATAGCATAAATATATAGTTTATGTTATCAATTTTTTTTTATAAATAGTTTTGGTTAAGAATTAATACTTTTCTGAGACTCGAATCCGGAGCTAAAAGGTCTTAAAAAATTAGGTTTTAATTATAGTGGGAATTACACGCGGTAAATGATAAGGTATTTTACTACGAAGCTTTCAATGCGAATTTTTTCTGTGTAATGAATTAATTTTTAATTGAACTTTGGACTAAAAGTTTTCACGTAATAATCGAAGGGGAAGGGTTGTAAACAAAATAACAAACTTACGATAACGTTTTCTAATAAGCTTTCATAAGATATTGACAAATAATTGTCTGTTTGGCTTTCAAATATTTGCAAAGTTCAGACTCGAAATTAAATGGGTTAGGTTTTGATACTAATTTCAATATTTAATAATATTATCATAATATATAATATAATTTTGCAGATCTTTAAATACTTATAGACATATTCGAAAAATATATATAAAATATCTATTGTTATATGTATTAAAGATAGTAGCATATTATTGAATGAGAAAATCAACTTTCCATTTGGTAAGAGAAAAAACAAAATGTCTAAAAATATAGTTAAGTTAATGCCATGTTCTCACGTGCCAGATATCTGTCAAACTATATGTTTAATTCGAAGAGTCTGCCATTAGAAATATTTAGAATTTTCTCCAGTCACAGTTTAGACTAGAAAGCAAATGCCCGACAGTTATTTGGAGCGTGAGAATAAACAATTAACTGCCAAGTTGCATGTGAGGGTCGATCGACTAGACGAGCTTGTGGCAAAAGCTGCTCACTTTCGCTTGAGACTTGAGATTAAATGAAATATTGAAAAAAGATTCTTGCTAATGCGAACATAATTAACACAGTATAATCAAAACTCTTATGTGGACTGTGGCAAGAAATGGCGACAAAACGCCGCCGCCTCTTTTTTTTTTTTGCTTTTTCCTGTTGCAAGTTTGTCGTCTGCGCAGCTTGAGGGGGTTTTAGGGGGCAGCGACGCGGACAAAACTTAAAAGGCTGTCTTCGCGCAGCGACACATGAATCACAATATGCTAAAGGGCTGACACTCTCTCCAGATCAATGCGGCTTCTGAATGAAGTTTTGCGGGCTTGTTAAGGCCAAAGCCAAAGTTGCCTACTTTGCGGCAGCCGCCAAGTTGCCAAGTTGCCACAGTTGCCACAGTTGGCGGGTTGGCGAGTTGTCGAGTTTCAGCAAGCGGCGCAGTTGAAGCCACCAGCAGAGTCGCCGTTGCGGTTGTCGTAAACAAAACGTTGCACGGTCCATGGTCCACGGTCCACGGTCCACGGTCCAAAGGCAAGCGCGGACATTCAGTACTTGGACGGAGCAGACAGCAGACAGCATCGAACGCTGGACACTGGACAGGGAGACAGGGAGACAGAAGGAGAGAGACAGCGGGCAGAACGAGTTGAAGACAGAGACTGTGGCGGGACAGAGGAGCGCAATGTGGAATATGTGGCATTTTGCAAAGATGTTGACATTTTGCGCGCATAAAAATGCCAACTTACCGGCCACTGTATGTGTCCTATTTTAAAATCAGGGCCATGGCTAAGAAGCTGCCACAGCCCCGGCTCGGACCAGAGCAGGGGCTAAGCCAAAGCCAAAGCTAAAGCCGCAGCCGCCGCGTCGTCGTGGATCGTGAGCGCGCGCTTAGGATAAAGCAGACCAAAAGCAAAGCAAACCGAAGCGAAGCCCAACTCAAAGCCAGGGACCAGTTGGACAGGCGTACAGACCAGGACGGTATAATTTTGTGTAGCTTGGCAAAGTATTTAGCAGCAGCAGCAGCAGCAGCAGCAACAGCAGCAGCTCAGCGGCAGCCGCAACCGAATATCAAAAACGTAACGATGTCACCAGGAACCCTCAATAAATTATCCAGCTGTAGCTGTAGCTCTGGCTGCAGCTGAGCCTGGGGCTAGGTCTCAATGCTTTTGGGCATGGACCTTAACTCTTTCAGTTTTGTCGGCCTGGGCGCTCTTGGCCAAAAGAAAGCCTGAAACTAGAGCGCCTAGTTGCGCCAAGGTAGCCTGGCCCCTGGCCTGGCCTATGTGCTGGAAGCTAACAATTAGGCCGATCTCTTGTAGCCGAGGCCCCAAAGTTGGTAGGCAAAGGAGCAGACGACAACGGACAACAGACAGCAGACAACCTGGCCCGCTGCCTGGGTAGACAATAGACCAAAAGTGTAGTGGGCAGCAATAAATTCAAACGGTAACAAATCGAACTTGGGGCCAAGACAGCACGCACACACAGGGAACGAGAGCCAGAGCCACAACCAGAGCCAAGCGAAATGAGGAGCATCGGATTCGAGCGTCGGGCGTCTCGGGGTTCTCCCTTAGGGAGCCGAGTCGGAGTCTGGGGCTGAGCTTTGGTAATATTTAAACTTGTCTCGTTTGGCTGCCGCTGCCGCTGCTGCTGCTGCTGCTTTGGTTCTGCTTGAATTCCTGGAAGCCGAATTACTTTGAAATGTGTCGATATGTCGCAACTTTTAAAAGTTATGCATAAAGGTCTGGGGCCCCCGAGCCGGAGCATACAGCTCCTGCTACAGCTACAGCTTCTTTGCTTACTCTGGCAACCTGGCGACTGTGACTCGGCGGCGCGGCCTCCTTTGATAATACAATAGCTGCACGCGCCCAATTTACATTTATGTCCACTGACATTAAGGAACGCAAACGTTGCAGCATCCCAGCCTTCCAGCCTCGAGCCTGGTCCAGTTTTTGGCCCTGCCCCTTGGCCCTCGTCCACCACCCGGCATTCGCCATTCTCCGATTCTCAGTGGTGTCTGCTATAAACGCAAAGTTTATACCTTTTGTTTTTTTTTTTATTCCTTCCTTTTTCTTTTTTGTTTTTGCGTGCCAGCAACGTGAAAATTGTCAACGTATTTAGCGGCGATTTTAAATATCATTATAAGGCGGGCTCTGCCGACATTTTATTCTGTCCTACGTAATTTTCAACAGTAGCTCTCATAAACACACAGTAAAACATGCTTAAACGATTTCATCTCTAATTAGGAACCGTCCTACCTTTGCGGATAGCGTGCTATCGAGGCAGTTTATATGCTTGCCTAATCGTTTCTAAAGATATATTTTTTAATCTTGATTCAAGCCTTAATTACTTGAACATATGTTCTCATTTAAAAACATATATATTACATATATCCATATATAACATATGCACATATGCACTGCATAGAGTACGCAGAAATTATTATTTTATAGCCATGTTTTAGAAACCGGGTATACGTACATAAGAAATAAATACTGAGCAGAGATAAAGATTATTAGATATATATAAACAAGCGTAAAGCATTAAGACTTAAAATTATGAGAATCGCATAGAAAGGCAACACCTCAAAAGGCTCCTTTAAATTGAAGCAAGAAGATATTTATGTTTATACATAAGCATATATACTCATGCACACATTAACATATGTACATACATATGTATATGTTTTTTCTACATATACAAATACACAAAAGCATACATCCACATACGCAGATGCACATACATTTTTAACTTTAGATAATTGCCGACATAACACATAACAACAAATATTACTTCTAAACAAAGCATTACTCCTGGCCTTAATTAAATTAATGAGAATCGCAAAGAAGGGCCCTATTTATAAATATACAAATTGCAACGCCGCGAAGGGAGTTATCAAAGTTAGATTAGATCTCCAAAACATCACTTATTCGCCAAATTTCCACTCGTGGATTAACTTAAATCCAATTCTTACAGCATGAGCTGCGCGTTGATTATCAATCAGTAACAGTATAAAACAGTCAGTTAAGCTATATTATGTGCTGTTGGTTCAGGTTTAAGCATCTATTGTGAATTATTTCAAGTAAACTTAAGGTTTCTATGGTTAAGGTGAAAATATTATGGAATATTGTCAAAATTATGTATATTTATTATATGGTGCTTAGCAATGAGTGTAAGAATAATGCGTGTCAACTAAACTTTCAACAGTCCGTACCACATTATGCCAATCGAATTATAGGCTTTCTGTCTAAATACGAAAAAGCATAAGACTTTTGTGAAACATAGCAGAAGGTGATCAATTTTTTAATTTTTAGAAATATAAAGTTCGATTGAACGAAGTCTATGATTCATGTAATATGAGGATCGAAATATATATATATATATATATAAATTCCACGAAAAACGAATGATTTACATTTTGACCTGACTACAAACTTTGAGACACATATCATTTATAAATGCTCCTGTATAAGTATTTTATATTTTGTTTTGAATATTTATTAAAACAAAAAATAATACTATTTAATCTTAAATCAATTCCAAAATCACAAAATAGCCCCGAAAAGGAATCCTGACCGCAGCCATAATTTGTTCAAATGAAAATCGTTTGGGAGAGATTTAGCTTTAAACATAAACGTCCATTTATTGGCTTTATTCAACCATATTTGGTTAATGCCAATTAACGGTAGAGATCAAATTTAGCCCGAAATTTCTATATGAAAATATTTACGACTCGCAATATTCTCAGTAGATCGGGCAATTATTTGTTAAAATTGAATAATTTCAATAAAGTTTTGTAAATATATGACAAATCTGAGCTTATGGATGTGGAAAACTAGACTCACAAAACTAACGAACAATATATGAGAAAATTGTATATCCTAATTTTCAAACTGTAAAAAAAGTTGTTTAATTTCTTAAATAAATTCCTGTGAATTAATTGACCTACTCAATCTTGATTTAATTGATAATTTACTTATGGTGTCTGGTAAACAATTTTTGTTTAGAATCAAAATCAATAAATTTGTTTTTTTTTAATAAAAAACTCTTGAAGTACTAAAACTTACCCGATCTCCTTGCCACATGTCCATTAAATTTTCTTTTTTGGATTCTTTCTTTCTCGTTACGTTGCATGCTATTTCTTTTAATTAATTTCCGAATGCAATCTGAGCTTTAATTGAATATCTCGAGAATTAATTTGAGATCGGTATCTGAAAAAGAATTTAGATTAAATAAACTTTTTCCAACTTCTAAGACATTTTCCTCTTACATTTCAGTGCTAAGAAATATCCTCATGTGTCCCGAACGCCGGAATATAGCCACTCGACCGTGGGCAGCGATTATCCGGAGCATGGTGTCTATCTGTCCGACGGAAGATTGCTGCACGACAGCCCCAGCGATGGCATCTACCATGTGAGGCAGGGCAGCGAGCACTCCTCGCCCAGCTTACATTCACCAGCCATACAGAGCGCCGGCTACGACAATGAGCACTCGATGAACGAGGCGGCGCTCTCGGTGCACAGTCACAGCCACTCGCCGATGGTGTCCAGTGCGTACAGTGTGGGCGGGAGCGCATCCTCATTGATCAGCAGCAATATACCCCTGCTGGGCGGAGGCGGCAGCTCGGTGCTGAATAAGTTCTTGTCGCATCCGCATGCCAGCATGGTGGGGGCACAGGATGAGTGCGGCGGTGCCTCGCATTCGCCAATTGAGCCGGCGTCCATGTGGAGCTATGATTACAAGGGCGACATATGCGCGCCCAATTGCGGCTATCTGGACCGGCACAAGGCGATGGCCAGCGATTTGAAGTACAGACCAGGCGGTAACCAGTCAAAAAGTGCCAAAGAGTCGCGCATCCGCCGGCCAATGAACGCGTTCATGGTGTGGGCTAAGATCGAGCGCAAGAAGCTGGCCGACGAGAATCCCGACCTGCATAATGCAGATCTCAGCAAGATGTTGGGTAAGTACACAGCTCATTCTAGTTGGTCGAACACTTCCATCTAATGCCACTGTTTGCGCCTTCCAGGCAAAAAGTGGCGCTCCTTGACGCCACAGGATCGTCGACCGTATGTGGAGGAGGCGGAGCGCCTGCGCGTCATACACATGACCGAGCATCCGAACTACAAGTACCGGCCCAGGCGGCGAAAGCAATCCAAACTGCGCACCCTGCAGCCGGGCAAGGAGCAGCAGCAAAGTGAGTTGGCCTCGCAAACAGGCGCAGCGGGGTCGTCCAAGACAACGCCCAAGCTATCGACGCCGCCGCTGGCGACGGCCACAAGCGCCAGCTACAACACGCCCACCGACGACAGCCGCAACTCGACGCCCCATAATGTGGGCGGCCTGTACGAGCAGCCGCTAAAGCCCAGTTACTCGCCCAGCTCCGTGGACTGCTACAGCAATGCGGACAGCACGGAGCAAATTGAATCTCTGGCTGCCAGCTGCAATGAATCCTCTCCAGTCGCAACAAATACCAGCTACGACAGCTCACTGCTGTTAAAGAAGCTAACGAAGCCGCCGACGCCGTCAAGTCGTGCTAGCAAGCAGCGCAACGACAAGCACTCCAAGGCGGAAGAGAAGTCCAAGGCACAGCAGCAGCAGCAGCAATCTTCGAGCCTGTATGCCTCATATCCACTGACCAGCTCCGTGGCTGTGGTTGCAGCGCGCGGCATGTATGTGACGTGCAACAATCGCGGACTGCTGGATCATGGGCACTCGGTGAAGGGCACCTTCTATCCGCCAGTGTCCAGCGCGGATGATGATGCCAGCTGCAACTCTATGCGCGGCAGCAATTCCCTGCAGCAGCAGCAACAGCAGCTGCATTGCAACACCAGCTCCAGCATTTGCCCAACCAGCTCCAGTGCATCGAACGTGATGGCTGGTGTCAGCGAGCAGCTGAGCAGCTACACGGTGGCCATGGCTGAGAGCAACAACGCGAGCAGCCTGCGGCTGAGCATGAACGAGCTGGGCGCCGTTTCCAATGATTATCTGTCCGGCGTGAATGCCAATGCGTATGGCATGCAGTATGAGGATTTTCTGCGCTATCAGACCAACGAGATGGACTACGATCAGCTCAAGGAGACAACGGACAATGGTGCACAGAAGTGTGCCAAATATCCGGATACCAATCAGAACTATGATGATTACGAGGCGGAGGCCTATAACAATGCCATGTTGCTGGCGGCGCCAGCGCCGCCTAGTGGCACCAGCTACTACACCCAGTTGCCTTATCCGCTGACCAGTAGCGCCTGCACGCCCAGCGGCCTAACCGCCTTTCCGCTGCAGCTAGCGGTGCCGTTCCAGCAGGCCTCAACGCCAGGTGGGGCAACTGCCTACGGGCAGCCCATGCAAAGCAGCTATCTGCACTATGGCAGCTACTATGAGGCCAATGGAGCAGGAGCACAGCTGCTGCCACAGCAGACGCCAGCAGCGCCACCAGCCGCGCAGACAGGCACGGGTCCTGCAGCAATGGCCATGCAGCATCATGGACATCCACACGCCCATCATCATCATCATCACTTTGCGACCAATGGTGCCGGCAGCTCTGCTCCGGGCATGGTGGGTGTCGGTGTGGGCGTGGGCGTCGGCGAGATGCTCTTCGAGCAGCAGCAGCATCCGCAACAGCAACAGCAGCTCCAGCGCAAGGATGATGAGATTAGCAATATCCTGGCGGGTGTGCGCAAAACCTGCTACAGCAATTGACGGACGCAATTGCATCTGGTTTGCCGCCTGAGTTTTTAATACTCGCGCGCAGCTCCTGAAGTTTGTTATATTTGAATGTAGAGTTTAGCGCTTGGTTTACGGTACGCATAAGTATTGCCTCCCGCTCCCCCGTTCTTTATATAGTGTACGATATTTAGAGTTTTTCTATTATTATTCAATCATATGAAATATGTTAAACTTAAGTTAGTTTGCATTGAAATAAAATCAAATTCGCTATGAACACGTACCGCGTTTTAATTTCCGAACCTGTTGTAAAACTGTAAATTTGACAGTCGCCAGGGCTGCCACATGTGCGACACATGTACCAAGGCTGCCACTTGAAACAAAAATGCTGTACCAAGGAAACGTACCACAATGTATTGGTAATTATTATTCGAGTAAATAAAGATTATTTCGAATCAGAATTATTCCTAGTTATTCAATACATTCATCTTTCGAATTGTTTAACTGAAGCAACATAATAAATACTTTGAGATTGTACATAAGCGCGGTGAAGAAACTTTGTACCATTTTCTAGCAAACAAGGTACTGTGTACTATTTAAAAACTGGTACAGTTTGGGTACATTTGTACCAAATGTGGCAGCCTTTCAAATGGTACACTTCAAATTCAAATTCGAGTGGCAACTTTGCCAATGACATCTGACTCTGTTCCACCAATATATACAGCATCTGCCAGCCAGCTAGCGACTGCGCAGTCGTCCACAGGAGCAGGTTGTACGGGGATAAAGAGGAAAAGAAATTTTCTTTTCTTGCTGTGGGGTTTGCTGAAGGGCTGCAGGATTTGCCTGAAACGTTACATAAAATTACAATAATTTCATTTTAAATTAATTCCACACTGCGTCCAGACAGACAAGAATGCAGCTATTGCGACCACGCCTCCAGTTCCAGATCGAGTTCCAGTTCGAGTTAAGCTAAGTGAGCAAAGATGTGTAAAATTCAGAAAAACGCATTCGCATAGGGCGCCAATTTGTGCGCTGTATAAGAAAATTTTGCTTAAAGAAATTTCCAAAAGAATTAATTTCCAACAAAAATTCAGTTATTCTTTTTAGTTAAATGTGTCTTAAGTTAAGTTCGTCTATGTGAATAATAATCAGAAATTGAACGGCCGTAATTCGACAACATTTCAACATTCAGACAAAATCGATAAGGTTCAGCATCCGTACAATTCGCACTACTTGATAGCCACAGAGGGGGCCGCCGTCATCCACCCAACCACCAACCACCCACCCACCACCCAGCAGGGGCAGCAGCATTCGCATCAACCACCCCACCTGATAGTATTCTCTCGTAATCGCCATCAGCATGTCATTCATAACGAAATTGAAAGCGACACCATTGCCGCCAATGCCACCATTGAAGAATATACTCAATGTGGCCATGCAAACGGCCAGACAGCAATTTCCAGAGCGCAAGGATTACCAGCAGCCACCCGGATCGAGCGGTAGTCATCCACAGCAGGGTCAAGGTCACGGCATGTTTCCGCCAGCCGATGCGAATGCCGCGAATGGCAGCGATCAGCCCACAGAGATGAGCTCGAATCCCTTTCGCAATGCCACAAGCTGGTCGAACGAGGAGGCCGAGGGGGACTATAAAACCGAATACCAGAGCACATCCTTTGTGGACAATGAATACGATGGCAGATATCAGCAGACCGATGGATTCAGGTATGTACCCGAATTAAATGCGTGAAATGATGCAGTTGCTCATGGTTTCGTCGCTTTGCAGGCAGGGCAGCATCGCCTCGGAGGCCAGCTCATTTGTGTGCGAGGGTGAAGGTGGCGGCGGCTCCAAGATCGACGAGTTCCAGGCTGCCTGGAACGTAACAAATGCCATTCAGGGCATGTTCATCGTATCGCTGCCATTTGCCGTGCTCCATGGCGGCTACTGGGCCATCATTGCCATGGTGGGCATTGCGCACATCTGCTGCTACACGGGCAAGGTGCTGGTGCAGTGTCTATACGAGCCGGATCCCAGCACGGGCCAAATGGTGCGCGTACGCGACAGTTATGTGTCCATTGCCAAGGTATGCTTCGGTCCCAAGCTGGGCGCGCGGGCCGTCAGCGTTGCCCAGCTGATTGAGCTGCTGATGACCTGCATATTGTATGTGGTTGTCTGCGGTGATCTCTTGGCGGGCACCTATCCGCAAGGCTCGTTCGATTCGCGCTCCTGGATGCTGTTCGTGGGCATCTTTCTGCTGCCCATGGGCTTCCTTAAGTCCCTGAAAATGGTATCCACGCTGTCCTTCTGGTGCACCATGTCGCATATTGTGATCAATGCCGTCATCCTGGGCTATTGTCTGCTCCAGATTGGCGACTGGGGCTGGTCCAAGGTGCGCTGGAGCATTGACATGGAAAACTTTCCCATTTCCCTGGGCGTCATTGTCTTCTCCTACACCTCGCAGATATTCTTGCCCACTCTGGAAGGCAATATGATCGATCGCTCCAAGTTCAACTGGATGCTCGACTGGTCGCACATAGCCGCTGCGATATTCAAGGCGGGTTTCGGTTACATCTGCTTCCTCACCTTCCAGAACGACACGCAGCAGGTGATAACCAACAATTTGCACTCTCAAGGCTTTAAGGGCATGGTCAACTTCTTCCTGGTCATCAAGGCCATTCTCAGCTATCCATTGCCATACTATGCTGCCTGCGAGCTACTGGAGCGCAACTTCTTCCGCGGCTCGCCAAAGACCAAATTTCCGACCATCTGGAATCTGGATGGTGAACTGAAAGTGTGGGGCCTGGGCTTCCGCGTGGGCGTCATTGTCTCCACCATACTTATGGCCATATTTATACCACACTTCTCGATACTAATGGGTTTTATTGGCAGCTTCACGGGCACAATGTTAAGCTTTATTTGGCCCTGTTACTTCCACATCAAAATCAAGGGCCATCTGCTCGATCAAAAGGAAATGGCCAGAGATTATGTCATCATAGGGCTGGGCGTGCTCTTCGGGGTTATTGGCATCTATGATTCCGGCAATGCCCTGATCAATGCCTTCGAGATCGGTCTTCCATTTTAAATATTTAACTCCCAATTGTTGCAAAAACTATTCATAGATCAGTTAACGAAAGCTCTAATCAAACTGGTTACTACCAATACCTAGGTATACATATATTTGTTGGGTTTGTGGGATTGTATTTTTGGCAAGTCTTCCAAAACTATCCAGTTATCAAAAACAAAAATGCCAAAATGCAGTCCACGATCGAAGTAAAAAAAGTAAAGAAACGTGTAACAATAAACTTAGTCTATAAGAAATGAAACGCAAGTCTTCCAAAACAAGCGAACAAATGTCTTCCAAACATTGAAATATATATAAAAATCCTAAGCTAATTTAAGTAACGAGTATTTAAAGAGATTATATAGAGGGGAAAACAAAAACCAACTTCCAAATGAAAACAAAAATAAACCAATATACAAATCGAAATGTATGTAAATCTATTAAAAAAAATAGATAGAACTCATTGATTATTTATATACCAGCATATAGTATATATATATATATATACATATATATAGTTGAAAACGTTTTTTTAAACGATATTAATTATACAGTTACTGTACTTATACATACGATAATAGCCTTTAAAAAACGACACACTAGCATCTTTTAAAAATTCTTAAATAAAACCATCATCTCAAGTTGAACAAGCATCTCCTTTTAGCTGCAAGAGTAAGGATTCTAATTTTTTTGACAAAAATGATATGCTCTTTATTGGTTAATCTTAAAATTGAATATTTTGTTTTTTTTTTCTTTTCAGGTAATTAGTTATTGTATAAAAAAATATTGTCATGGAAGCTTAGGCGCTACGTGATATGTTATGAAGACAAGACAAGACGTACGTTCAGACGATTTCATGTATTATTCAGTTAGAGGTTTTATAAAATTTATGATCGTGAGTACTTCTGGTATGTTGGAATGCACCTTGTTTAATCTTATGCACAGCACAGGTTGTTGTTGTTGGGGCAGTTATGTATTCGCTCTTGTAGAGACTGGAGCCGGTAAACTTGTCGTTGCCCAGACTAATCGAGGATTGATTGCCGCGACGCGAGGTCACAATCCGTTCGCTCTGGCCATGGGCATTGTAGGCGGATGAGGAGGGGAAATCGATGCCGCTGGACAAATGCTGGCTACCAGCGCTGCGATGACGTGTCACAAGACGCTCGCTCTGAGATTGGGATGGAAAATCAATGCCGCCCGATGCGTATGTACGGGTGACCGTCGATCTCTCCAGGTTCGATTTGTTGGTATCAGCACCGGATATGATGCGCGACATGGATGAGGAAGACGAGGAGGTCTTAATTTGATGTTCCTTGTTTTCCTTGTGTATGCTGCAACTGCGACGATCCGTGGCGTAGCCAGTATTCAAATCCGATTCCCGATTCTGACGATGGATGCTACTATAGCTCTGGCGATCACTCGAATGGACATTGCTACTCGGCACCTGCTCGTGCAGGTTCAGAATACTCTTGCGCTGCATTTTTCCGTTAGAGGTTAGACTGCCGTTGACCGCACTCGAGTCGGATGTCACGTTCTTGCGATGGAATACCGAGTTAGACACATCAGCCTCCGAGGAAAACTCGCTCTTTCTGTGATGGAAATGCTTCGATGAGCTCATATGCGAAGTTGAGCTGCTGGTCGTGTTGTTGGTCACCGAGCTGCTGCCACCGACCACATGGGACGTGGATCCATTGCTAACATTATTCGTAGCTGTGTTGCCCGAGACTATATGGGATGTTGAACCTTCGGTTTCAGTTGCATTCCTGGTAACTAGCCTGCCTGAGACTATGCGAGCCGTAGATCCTCCAGTTTCGGTCACGTTCCTGGTAACTGTCCTGCCCGAGACTACGTGAGTTGTTGACCCTTCAGATGCTGTCAAGTTGTTGGTATCTGTTCTGCCTGATGAAACTACATGATGTGTTGTGCCTCCAGTTTCGGTCACGTTGTTGATCGACGTGCCACCTTGGTTTGTTCGTCTTGTTGTTGTGGAGGTCTGAAGGGCGCTGCTGTCATCCGTTGAGCCACGGATTTGCTCTGTTTTGAGTGCACTCTTCTCCACAACATTGAGATTTCTTTGCATCGACGTTGTTTCCTTGTGTACGTTTTGTGTGTTTTCAATATTTGTTGTGGTCGTATTTTTGGACACATTTTCAATAACATTTATTTTAGCTGGTCGCTTCACATATTCGGTTTCTGGCTCCTTTTTGGTTCGGCCACCGACAACAGTTGTTACCTTTTTCGTTGAAACAATAATCAGGCCATCTACCGGGGCTTGGCTGTTGGAATCCACTTGCTTTATTGCATCCTTGCCGGACACAAAGTTCATCTGGTTCGTTGTCTTTAGTATTGTAGTATCGCTACCCAAGCTGATGGATGAACTGTTGTGCTTGTATTTCTGTGTACGCTGAACTCGGTCGACGGCGGTTTTATTAGTGGTTGATTTGTAATCATCCTTTCTAGTCACTGTCATGGAACCTTCTAACTTTAAGTTATCTACCGGTCGCTTGGCAGGCTCTCGCTTCTCTATTACCGTTTTGCTATCGGTTTCAGTTCTATCAGTTCTTTTGTAAAATTCACCTTCTGTCTTCAAGTTGTCCTTAGGTTTCTTTTGAATTGGTCGTTCTGCAGGCTTGAAGGTCGTCTTCTCCGGCGTATAGAATTCTCCTTCAGACCTTAAGTTATCGCTTGGCTTCACTTGCTCGGGTCGCTTAACGTGACGATAGTCTTCTTTTTTAGTGAACGTCATTGACCCCTCGGTCTTTAAGTTGTCCTTTCTTATAATTGTTTTCACCTTTTCAGCTGGTTTAAATGATTCTTTTTCTGGAATATACATTTGGCCCTCAGGCTTCAAGTTATCTACATGTTTCTTTTGCTCAGGTCGATCTGCTGGCTGGTATTTGGGTTTTTCCGGAGTAAACATAACACCTTCCAAAGGTTTTAAATTATCTTGTGGTTTCTTCTGCTTAGGTCTTTCAACGGGCTTATATCTAGGTTTCTCTGGAGTATAGAACTCGCCCTCTGGTTTCAGGTTATCCTCTGGCCTGACTTGCGAGGGACGCTCACCTGGGCGGAACTGCGGCTTTTCGGGACTGTAGAATTCGCCTTCAGGCTTAAGATTATCCGTCGGCTTCACCTGTTCAGGACGAACAACATATTGGTACTCTTTCTTTTCCACAAACGTCATTTCACCCTCGGTACGCAAGTTATCCTTTCGGATGACCTTTTCCGTTTTTTCTGCCGGTCGGAACACTTGCTTTTCAGGCGCCACAAACTCGCCCTCAGGTTTAAGATTGTCCACGGGCCTCTTTTGAACTGGCCGCTCTGCGGGACGATATCCAGGTTTATCGGGAGTGTAGAACTCGCCCTCTGGTTTCAGGTTATCCTCAGGTCTGACTTGCGAGGGACGCTCACCTGGGCGGAACTTCGGCTTTTCGGGACTGTAGAATTCGCCTTCAGGCTTAAGATTATCCGTCGGCTTCACCTGCTCAGGACGAACAACATATTGGTACTCTTTCTTTTCCACAAACGTCATTTCACCCTCGGTACGCAAGTTATCCTTTCGGATGACCTTTTCCGTTTTTTCTGCCGGTCGGAACACTTGCTTTTCAGGCGCCACAAACTCGCCCTCAGGTTTAAGATTGTCCACGGGCCTCTTTTGAACTGGCCGCTCTGCGGGACGATATCCAGGTTTATCGGGAGTGTAGAACTCGCCCTCTGGTTTCAGGTTATCCTCTGGTCTGACTTGAGATGGACGCTCACCTGGGCGGAACTTCGGCTTTTCTGGACTATAAAATTCGCCTTCAGGTTTAAGATTATCCGTAGGCCTAACCTGCTCTGGACGCTCGGCTGGCCTGTATCCAGGTTTATCGGGAGTGTAGAACTCGCCCTCTGGTTTCAGGTTATCCTCTGGTCTGACTTGAGATGGACGCTCACCTGGACGGTACTTCGGCTTTTCTGGACTATAAAATTCACCTTCAGGCTTAAGATTATCCGTTGGTCTGACCTGCTCTGGACGTTCGGCTGGCCTGAATCCTGGTTTATCGGGAGTGTAGAACTCGCCCTCTGGTTTCAGGTTATCCTCTGGCCTGACTTGAGATGGACGCTCACCTGGGCGGAACTTCGGCTTTTCTGGACTATAAAATTCGCCTTCAGGTTTAAGATTATCCGTAGGCCTAACCTGCTCTGGACGCTCGGCTGGCCTGTATCCAGGTTTATCGGGAGTGTAGAACTCGCCCTCTGGTTTCAGGTTATCCTCTGGTCTGACTTGAGATGGACGCTCACCTGGGCGGAACTTCGGCTTTTCTGGACTATAGAATTCGCCTTCAGGTTTAAGATTATCCGTAGGCCTAACCTGCTCTGGACGTTCGGCTGGCCTGTATCCGGGTTTATCGGGTGTGTAGAACTCGCCTTCAGGCTTAAGATTATCTGTTGGCTTAACCTGTTCAGGACGAAGTACATACTGATACTCTTCCTTCTCCACAAAAGTCATTTCCCCTTCGGTACGTAAGTTATCCTTTCGGATGATTCTTTCTGTTTTCTCAGCTGGCCGGAACACTTGCTTTTCTGGCGCCACAAACTCGCCCTCAGGTTTAAGATTATCCACGGGCCTCTTTTGAACTGGCCGCTCAGCTGGCCTATATCCAGGTTTATCGGGAGTGTAGAACTCGCCCTCTGGTTTCAGGTTATCCTCTGGTCTGACTTGAGATGGACGCTCACCTGGACGGTACTTCGGCTTTTCTGGACTATAAAATTCACCTTCAGGCTTAAGATTATCCGTTGGTCTGACCTGCTCTGGACGTTCGGCTGGCCTGAATCCTGGTTTATCTGGAGTGTAGAACTCGCCCTCTGGTTTCAGGTTATCTTCTGGTCTGACTTGAGATGGACGCTCACCTGGGCGGAACATCGGCTTTTCTGGACTATAAAATTCGCCTTCAGGTTTAAGATTATCCGTAGGCCTAACCTGCTCTGGACGCTCGGCTGGCCTGTATCCAGGTTTATCGGGAGTGTAGAACTCGCCCTCTGGTTTCAGGTTATCCTCTGGTCTGACTTGAGATGGACGCTCACCTGGGCGGAACTTCGGCTTTTCTGGACTATAGAATTCGCCTTCAGGTTTAAGATTATCCGTAGGCCTAACCTGCTCTGGACGTTCGGCTGGCCTGTATCCGGGTTTATCGGGTGTGTAGAACTCGCCTTCAGGCTTAAGATTATCTGTTGGCTTAACCTGTTCAGGACGAAGTACATACTGATACTCTTCCTTCTCCACAAAAGTCATTTCCCCTTCGGTACGTAAGTTATCCTTTCGGATGATTCTTTCTGTTTTCTCAGCTGGCCGGAACACTTGCTTTTCTGGCGCCACAAACTCGCCCTCAGGTTTAAGATTATCCACGGGCCTCTTTTGAACTGGCCGCTCAGCTGGCCTATATCCAGGTTTATCGGGAGTGTAGAACTCGCCCTCTGGTTTCAGGTTATCCTCTGGTCTGACTTGAGATGGACGCTCACCTGGACGGTACTTCGGCTTTTCTGGACTATAAAATTCACCTTCAGGCTTAAGATTATCCGTTGGTCTGACCTGCTCTGGACGTTCGGCTGGCCTGAATCCTGGTTTATCTGGAGTGTAGAACTCGCCCTCTGGTTTCAGGTTATCTTCTGGTCTGACTTGAGATGGACGCTCACCTGGGCGGAACTTCGGCTTTTCTGGACTATAAAATTCGCCTTCAGGTTTAAGATTATCCGTAGGCCTAACCTGCTCTGGACGCTCGGCTGGCCTGTATCCAGGTTTATCGGGAGTGTAGAACTCGCCCTCTGGTTTCAGGTTATCCTCTGGTCTGACTTGAGATGGACGCTCACCTGGGCGGAACTTCGGCTTTTCTGGACTATAGAATTCGCCTTCAGGTTTAAGATTATCCGTAGGCCTAACCTGCTCTGGACGTTCGGCTGGCCTGTATCCGGGTTTATCGGGTGTGTAGAACTCGCCTTCAGGCTTAAGATTATCTGTTGGCTTAACCTGTTCAGGACGAACTACATACTGATACTCTTCCTTCTCCACAAAAGTCATTTCCCCTTCGGTACGTAAGTTATCCTTTCGGATGATTCTTTCTGTTTTCTCAGCTGGCCGGAACACTTGCTTTTCTGGCGCCACAAACTCGCCCTCAGGTTTAAGATTATCCACGGGCCTCTTTTGAACTGGCCGCTCAGCTGGCCTATATCCAGGTTTATCGGGAGTGTAGAACTCGCCCTCTGGTTTCAGGTTATCCTCTGGTCTGACTTGAGATGGACGCTCACCTGGACGGAACTTCGGCTTTTCTGGACTGTAGAATTCGCCTTCAGGTTTAAGATTATCTGTTGGCCTAACCTGCTCCGGACGTTCGGCTGGCCTGTATCCGGGTTTATCCGGTGTGTAGAACTCGCCCTCTGGTTTCAAGTTATCCTCTGGTCTGACTTGAGATGGACGCTCACCTGGACGGAACTTCGGCTTTTCTGGACTGTAGAATTCGCCTTCAGGCTTAAGATTATCCGTAGGCCTAACCTGCTCTGGACGTTCCGCTGGTCTGTATCCGGGTTTATCGGGAGTGTAGAACTCGCCCTCTGGTTTCAGGTTATCCTCTGGTCTGACTTGAGATGGACGTTCACCAGGACGGAATTTTGGCTTTTCGGGGCTATAGAATTCGCCTTCTGGCTTAAGATTATCCGTCGGTCTGACCTGCTCTGGACGCTCGGCTGGTCTGTATCGAGGTTTATCGGGAGTGTAGAAGTCGCCTTCAGGCTTAAGATTATCTGTTGGCTTAACCTGTTCAGGACGAAGTACATACTGATACTCTTCCTTCTCCACAAAAGTCATTTCCCCTTCGGTACGTAAGTTATCCTTTCGGATGATTCTTTCTGTTTTCTCAGCTGGCCGGAACACTTGCTTTTCTGGCGCCACAAACTCGCCCTCAGGTTTAAGGTTATCCACCGGCCTCTTTTGAACTGGCCGCTCAGCTGGCCTATATCCAGGTTTATCGGGAGTGTAGAACTCGCCTTCTGGTTTCAGGTTATCCTCTGGTCTGACTTGAGATGGACGCTCACCTGGGCGGAACTTCGGCTTTTCTGGACTGTAGAATTCGCCTTCAGGCTTAAGGTTATCCGTCGGTCTGACCTGCTCTGGACGCTCGGCTGGCCTGTATCCAGGTTTTTCGGGAGTGTAGAACTCGCCCTCTGGTTTCAGGTTATCCTCTGGTCTGACTTGAGATGGACGCTCACCTGGGCGGAACTTCGGCTTTTCGGGACTGTAGAATTCGCCTTCAGGTTTAAGATTATCTGTAGGCCTAACCTGCTCTGGACGTTCCGCTGGTCTGTATCCAGGTTTATCGGGAGTGTAGAATTCGCCCTCTGGTTTCAAGTTATCTTCTGGTCTGACTTGAGATGGACGCTCACCTGGACGGTACTTCGGCTTTTCTGGACTATAAAATTCACCTTCAGGTTTAAGATTATCCGTAGGCCTAACCTGCTCTGGACGTTCGGCTGGCTTGTATCCGGGTTTATCGGGTGTGTAGAACTCGCCCTCTGGTTTCAGGTTATCCTCAGGTCTGACTTGCGAGGGACGCTCGCCTGGACGGAACTTCGGCTTTTCTGGACTGTAGAATTCGCCTTCAGGTTTAAGATTATCTGTTGGCCTAACCTGCTCCGGACGTTCGGCTGGCCTGTATCCGGGTTTATCCGGTGTGTAGAACTCGCCCTCTGGTTTCAAGTTATCTTCTGGTCTGACTTGAGATGGACGCTCACCTGGGCGGAACTTCGGTTTTTCGGGACTATAGAATTCGCCTTCAGGCTTAAGATTATCCGTCGGTCTAACCTGCTCTGGACGCTCGGCTGGTCTGTATCCAGGTTTATCGGGAGTGTAGAAGTCGCCTTCAGGCTTAAGATTATCTGTTGGCTTCACCTGTTCAGGACGAACTACATACTGATACTCTTCCTTCTCCACAAATGTCATTTCCCCTTCGGTACGTAAGTTATCCTTTCTGATGATTCTTTCTGTTTTCTCAGCTGTCCGGAACACTTGCTTTTCTGGCGCCACAAACTCGCCCTCAGGTTTAAGATTATCCACGGGCCTCTTTTGAACTGGCCGCTCAGCAGGCCTATATCCAGGTTTATCGGGAGTGTAGAACTCGCCCTCTGGTTTCAGGTTATCCTCAGGTCTGACTTGCGAGGGACGTTCACCAGGACGGAACTTCGGCTTTTCGGGGCTGTAGAATTCGCCTTCAGGCTTAAGATTATCCGTTGGTCTGACCTGCTCTGGACGTTCGGCTGGCTTGTATCCTGGTTTATCTGGAGTGTAGAACTCGCCCTCTGGTTTCAGGTTATCCTCTGGTCTGACTTGAGATGGACGCTCACCTGGACGGAACTTCGGCTTTTCTGGACTGTAGAATTCGCCTTCAGGCTTAAGGTTATCCGTCGGTCTGACCTGCTCTGGACGCTCGGCTGGCCTGTATCCAGGTTTATCGGGAGTGTAGAATTCGCCCTCTGGTTTCAAGTTATCCTCTGGTCTGACTTGAGATGGACGCTCACCTGGGCGGAACTTCGGCTTTTCTGGACTGTAGAATTCGCCTTCAGGTTTTAGATTATCTGTTGGCCTAACCTGCTCCGGACGTTCGGCTGGCCTGTATCCGGGTTTATCGGGAGTGTAGAATTCGCCCTCTGGTTTCAAGTTATCCTCTGGTCTGACTTGAGATGGACGCTCACCTGGGCGGAACTTCGGCTTTTCTGGACTGTAGAATTCGCCTTCAGGCTTAAGGTTATCCGTCGGTCTGACCTGCTCTGGACGTTCCGCTGGTCTGTATCCGGGTTTATCGGGTGTGTAGAAGTCGCCTTCAGGCTTAAGATTATCTGTTGGTTTAACCTGTTCAGGACGAACTACATACTGATACTCTTCTTTTTCCACAAATGTCATTTCCCCTTCGGTACGTAAGTTATCCTTTCTGATGATTCTTTCTGTTTTCTCAGCTGGCCGGAACACTTGCTTTTCTGGCGCCACAAACTCGCCCTCAGGTTTAAGATTATCCACGGGCCTCTTTTGAACTGGCCGCTCAGCAGGCCTATATCCAGGTTTATCGGGAGTGTAGAACTCGCCCTCTGGTTTCAGGTTATCCTCAGGTCTGACTTGCGAGGGACGTTCACCAGGACGGAACTTCGGCTTTTCGGAGCTGTAGAATTCGCCTTCAGGCTTAAGATTATCCGTTGGTCTGACCTGCTCTGGACGTTCGGCTGGCTTGTATCCTGGTTTATCTGGAGTGTAGAACTCGCCCTCTGGTTTCAGGTTATCTTCTGGTCTGACTTGAGATGGACGCTCACCTGGGCGATACTTTGACTTTTCTGGACTGTAGAATTCGCCTTCAGGTTTTAGATTATCCGTAGGCCTAACCTGCTCTGGACGCTCAGCTGGTCTATATCCGGGTTTATCTGGAGTGTAGAAATCTCCCTCTGGTTTTAAGTTATCCTCCGGCCGGACTTGAGATGGACGCTCGCCAGGTCGGAACTTCGGTTTTTCGGGACTGTAGAATTCGCCTTCAGGCTTTAGATTATCTGTTGGCTTAACCTGCTCAGGACGAACTACATACTGATACTCTTCCTTCACCACAAATGTCATTTCCCCTTCGGTACGCAGGTTATCTTTTCTGATTACCTTTTCCGTTTTTTCTGCTGGCCGGAAAACTGGTTTGTCAGGTGTTAGGAACTCGCCTTCAGGCTTTAGATTGTCCACAGGTTTCTTTTGAGTTGGCCGTTCAGCTGGCTTATATCCAGGTTTATCTGGAGTGTAAAATTCGCCTTCGGGTCTTAAATTATCTTCTGGCCTGACTTGTGATGGACGCTCAGCAGGGCGGAATTCGGTTTTTTCTGGACTATAAAAGTCCCCTTCCGGCTTCAAGTTGTCCGCGTGTCGCACTTGGCTTGGGCGATCTCCCGGCTGATATTTGGGTTTTTCAGGACTGAAAAATTCGCCCTCTGGCTTCAGATTGTCTGTAGGTTTTACGTATCCCGGACGTGTCACATATTGATATTCCTCTTTTTCGACAAACGTCATTTCTCCATCCATACGTAGATTATCTGTGTGTATAATTTTTTCGCGTCTTTCGCCGGGCTTGTAGGGCTCTTTTTGCGGAACTAAAAACTCCCCTTCGGGCTTTAGATTGTCTTCTGGTTTTTTTATCACTATATAGTCTACAAATATGTCTTCGTTGTTCTTAGGAATGTTATCGTCTTTCTTAGACCATGTGTTAGTACGTATCCTTGAAAAGCTTTCGTCGACGTTATCTAAGGAAATGAACAATTGTTTAAAAAACTATAGCAATTGTTGAATAATTTCATGGCACTCACCATCTATTTCCACAATTGTCGTTTCTGTAGATTTCTTTGTGCTGGTAGAGCAATGATGACGCCTAAAAGAGAGAGAAACCTTAGTACACAACCTTTGACTTGGATAGATAAGTACTTACCCGCAAGTACATATCTCACAGATGCACCTCTCACTGTGTGTTGTTGTCTTGTTTTTATCGACTCCGCGCTGGGAAGAGAGACATAATCCATTTAATCAATTAAAATTAATTATGATTAATTTAAGATCAAGCTACTTACGGTTCTTGAATCGTCTAAGCGTTTCTTATCGGTGCGCACATAATCGATCTCATCATAAATATTCTCTGTAATATTTTTGTGTTTCGATGTCTCGTTCAGATTCAGCGTTATATTCTCATTGTTCTCCGATATTGATGTATTCTTCTCGATTTCGACAAACTCATCCACATATATGGTCTTCTTGGGCGTCTCCACAATCTTCTCAATGACATCCGTGTGCACCTTCTCGTCCAGCACACGCCAATCATTAATGCTCGCATCGAATATCTGAAGGAACACAATATAATTAATATCAAGAGCTGCCCAAAACAACCCCCAAAAGGAGGTGCACACCCCAGCCGTGTCCACTCACCTTTGTCACCTCCGTGGTGGTCGTTATGTTGGCCACATCGGTATTATCTTTCTCGATTTCACGGGCAATGTCATTGGGCACAAAAGCTTTCGTATCGGTATACGATTTCTCGTCCACAACAGTCCATTTGCCGAGCTTTGTGTCGTACACCTTGGTCGTGTATGTTGTGGTTGTTGTATTGATGACATCATCAACTATTTCGGGATAGCCCACATCGTTGACACTGTCCACGGTCCGTTCGTCCACCACGCGCCATCGATTGTTGCGCCTGTCATAGATCTTCTTCTTGTATGTGATTTTGGTGGTGCCATCGGAATCCCTGCTCACATAACGCTCAAATGTGGGCACCTTCTTGTTGCTGGCATGCGTGCTGCCATCGCTAAGCTCGCTCCAGGTCTTCGTCTTCACATCGTACACCTCCTTTTTCGAGGCAGATGTCGACTGCTTGGTGCTGCTGCGTTTCAGTGTGCTCTCCTCGCTGCTGACCTGCTGGCTACTGGACTTGGTCGTCGACGAGGTGGCTCTGTCCACAGCTGTTGTGCTGCTGCTGCTGCTGCTGCTGGCCACTTTATCGAGCGAGGCATTCAGCACAGTCGTTGATGACGTCGTGCCGTTTGTTGTGGTCACAACCGGTTCGTGCGACGTCATCGTTGTCGATGACGAATCGCCGGAGACACCCACAGCTGTTCGCAGCTTCGACTTTGGCACGCTCTGAGATTCGCTGGTGTTGGTGTTGGTAATGTTTGTGTTCGTGTTGGTATTGGTGCTATCTGTGACAACCTGTTCGGCCACATCAACATATTTACTGCTCGATGATGTCATACCGGTAGCGGCTCTCTCGCTTGCAATGAGCGTTTCGCTGGCATCGCTGCGCTGTTGGCTGGAACTGGTTGTCGACTCGTAGTAACTGGAGCTGCTTGCCTCCTGGCGGCTACTGGACATTTTTGATGTGGACGCATACATTTTGGATATGCTGCCAGAGCTGGCGGACGTTATAATGCCAGGCGTTGTGATTTCGACCACCTCGATCGGTACCGAGAAGACCGGTTCCTTTTTCTCGCTCTCCAGCAGATCAATCGACGCAATGATCTTCTCGTTTGCGTAATCCTTGGAGATTTTGGCACTGCTCGTGCTGCTGCTGCTAAATAGCTTCGACTGCTGCGACTGTGATTGCGTTTGACTTTTCGCCGTGTACGAACTATAGCTTTTCCCACCGGCTGCCAGCAGACTTTCACCTTTCCGCTGCACCTGGACGGCAGCGGCGGGGGTGCTGCTGCTGCTGCTGCTGCTAGCGGTGGCAGGCGCCCCGCCGTACGAGACAGATTCATGCTCCATTGATGTCGAGCTGGTGTTGGTTGTTAATGTTGCCGTCGCATTCGGACCCAGTTTTTTGGTCAGTTTCGTCGCTGACGCCGACGCCGATCTGGTTGTGCTCGATGTGTCTAATGGCGGTGGCTGCGACGGCGACTGCGACGCCGACGGCGACTGCGACTGCGACTGCGACACTTGTTTTGTTTTATTGCTTTTTGATACCATTTTGTTGGTTTGATTTTCACACAGATGAGGTAATCACTGACTTTGTGGAATGAATAATGTTGCACTTGCTTGTTTATGTATATTAATTGTTATTAATTTTTTTTTCGTTCGGATCTCGTTATGGTTGTTGTTATTAATCACAATTATCGCTGGGTTTGCCACTCAATTTTTTTTAGCTATAAGTATAAATGGGTTGTTTAGTAATCTGTGCGGTGTCTCATAATTTCCACCGGGAATGTCGAAATACTTATTTTTAAATAATGTATTTATTATACTTGCACGACAAACAGACGCACACACACACACACATACGTACAAATATATGCGCGAGCCACAGTTCAAGTTGAAAATGACAAACGGTGGCACTGGCGCACGCACACACAAACAGACACAAACAGACACACACACACGCACACACACACACAAAAAACGGTGCGACGTAACGGGCGACACTTGAACGTGTGAGCTATTGAGCGCCACAGGAGTGGGAGCGAGAGCGTAAGCACAGACACAGACACAGACACAGAGAAACAAACAGTTAGACAAGACAAGAAGAGACACAGACGTTTTATTCGCTTAGATGCTCAATTGGGCAGATTCGTGCATATTTCGTATTCGTGGGAGCACTTGAGAAAGATCAGCAACCGTCGCGAAGCACAACTCAAAACGTACTGATCAGCGCTGCGGTTGTCTGGAACCGCTTTCGACCGTATCTGTTGCGCTCTGCCAGCCAAAAAAGCGACAGCGCCGCAGCAGCGCGTTCGTGGGCTTTGCTCCATCGCGTTGGCAGCGTATGCACGCGTGCGTGCGAGCGAGCGAGAGGCACTGTGCGCGCAGAGCTTCGCCTTCGCAAAAAGCCTGGCCAGATCGAAGCTGCTCGCGCGTAGGTTGCCATTTGAGCGTTTCGAATGTGTGTGTGTGTGTGTGTTTGCGAGTGAGTGTGGTTAGAGAGTAAAATGCGTAGGCTTAGCGCTGCTGAGACGGCACCTTCTTTTTTTTATTGCCACGCAGCGAGTTCAATAAGCCAATAAAAACAATATGAAAACAAGAAAATTGCTCATTTCGAAAGTGGCCACAAACAAACCAAAACAAACAGCGGCGTTTTCTTCTGCTATTTTGTTAATCTTAGTTTTTATTACACACACACACACACACACACACACACACAGATGCCGGCCAGAGCTTAGCTGAGCATCTGCGAGTGTGTCAACGGATCTCCAGAACGGGCCAAAAAATTAGCGCTCAGACCAAAATTGGCCGGATTAATGACAGTCGTTGTATTTATCCGGCGGATGGATGCACAATTAAAATATAAATATGTAACAGATATATGTACATACATATGTGCTTATATCGATTAGTCAGCTTTGCATGTCTGGCTCAACGGATACGTGGGCGCATCCGTGCTTGTAAAGCGTTCGAATAAGCTCAGACTAGATATACTCAGATATATTTTATTGTGCATTCGCGAGAACTGATGCTCAATTGATTTATAGCGGCCTTAGGTGGGTGTTACTCAAAATTATGCTGCGAGTTGTTCTGCCCATAAAAAGAGCTCTCAGCTCGCAGACTAACCTTTATTTAAGTACGTACGTATATATGTGCTATGGCAGACAGACAGCCAGGTTGAAGTTTAAACAATTCGACCTCCAAAATGCAGCGTAGACAGGCGCACACAGTTAAATCTTAGCAAGAAAACTAAACTCAATTGTTGCTTAATTCGCAGCGACAGTCAACTTATGACGTCATCAGCCAAGACTCATTTTCATGCGAGGCTCTCGAGCAATCAAAACTTGTTTGCCGCGCCGACACACACACATACATATAAAAAAAATTTAAAAAAAAAAATAACAAAAATAGACAACAAAATAAAAAATAACAATTAAGTGGCAAACAAAAGTCGCACTGTGGGTAAAAAAAAAAAAATGAATAAAAACAAATTTGAAATTCAAAGCACAATCGCAAAATTCGACCCGAATTCGCCAACTGGATTAAAGACAAATGTGTCCAATTGGAAAACCAGTAGGAATTTGGTGCATTCGCCAATTTAGAATATTTCGTATAATGTGCAGCGTTCAGTTGGGAGTATTTGTTTTTTCTATTTGGAGGGATGATGACATCTTTTGCCATGTCACGGACTTTTCCTTGGAATTGAATTTGAAATTCAGAATTGCGAAGGCAAACCACGAAATGTTTATACGCCACTTGTGCAAGCACAATTAATTTTAATTTAATGCTCAAGAAAATGAACAAAAAATAAATGTAAAATAAATAAAAAACGAAGACAAGTTAGCGAGTGCCCATGTCAGGCCCTTATACGGTTTGCATGCCGAAAATAAGTACCCAACATGTCCGGCAATGCACTTTTAGGGCACAATATTTGGCAGGCTCTCAATAAGGTCGACAGGATGATGCAATCCCAGGCAAGAGCCTCACGTAATTGTATAATAATGCATATTACATGCTATACGCCAGTAAGAAAAAACATAAACAATTAACAAACTATTGAAATTATGAATGAGATGTGACGACTTGAGGGCTGTGCATGTCAAATGTTTGATATGTACGTGCCTTCCCTAGGAGCGCCATATGGTCAAATCGTTTTGGGTTTTTCGTTTGTTTTTTTTTTGGTTAGTAGCTTCGTGACTTCATGTAAAAACAACGCTAATTATTTTTTGCATTAAGTCAAAATGATTACGAATAGTTAGCAAGCGCCGCAAGGCGAATAGCAGACCTAGCTATACCCTGTACTACGTACAATTCTGCATAACTCGCGTAATTATCAAGCGATTATTGTGAAAGTTTCAGAATCGTTCCTTAATATGCTCAAATATATCCATATCAAATCTCTAAACAATTACTTCACATTTGTGCAAGTTATCTGGTTTTAAATAATTCAGATACTGGAGCATTGAACCTTGAGATACATTATATATACGTAGATTTGTCTCAGTTTTAAACATACTTTAACCCTTTCACAACTGGTCTAGACCACGTTAACTCGTTTAATGGGTATGGCTAGTAAAAAATGCTAAACATTTTCGCTTTATCGCACAACAAAACGAAGCTACACACATGTTTGCTATGTATGGGTATTTGTATCTTATCTAACTGGGAACTCAACATGTATTAGGCTGAGTAAAATTCCTGAGAATGTTATACATATATTAACTTATTCGACTAGAAGAGAACTTGCTTGGCTAACCTGTTTACTTATTACCTAACAATGAAACGCTTTAAGTAGCTGCCCGGAGAAGAGAACGAACTCGGATCAAGCCAACCGCCGGCTGATTCATAATTCACAAGGCACAATTCCATTTTGGCTCACAATTGTTCTGTTTGTTTGTTTAATCGGCCAATCTATAAATAAATTATTAAAGCATTTGCAGGCAACATTTCTTTTGGCCAACAATTGTTATTGCAGAAAGTGAGGCCTCTGTTATCTGAGAAATATAAACGATTTGACTAATGTTTTTACTTTGCTGCCAATTTGCAATTATGTATGACATCAACATGAACTGAAAGATACTGCCAAAATATTCGAAAGATCCGAGGCGACTTGTTGGACTCATTGGAGAACAGTCCAATTAGAATAGGCATACCACACTTACATATGTTCGGCTTTAGTTAACAAAGTTAATACAGAAAATCAGAATATTGGCAGAAGTTTTAGGTCTAATTTAGCCACACTATTTAAATTAAGGATATCTTCAATAGGGATTCAAATTAAGGATGAAAACTTAGTATTTAATTACAAGATATGTTAATTTAAAAAATTAATAGTTTCCTTTTTACATTTCGAATCAAGTCTAAAATAAAAAAGAACATTTTAATGCTTTTAAGCAGGCGCAATTTCATTTTGAACAAAAATTCAATTGAATACGGTCACACTTTGATTACGTACAACAATTAATTGAACGGCTTTGTCAATAATTACAGTTACACATTCTTTTTTTTTTATTATTCATAGTCGTATTTTCTTTAAGGCTTACATATTAAAATATACGCTTAATATTAGGTTCATCTATTTATCGGATTATGTTATCGATTTACTTGTTGCATTTATTTGAACGCATTCCTAACGTTAAGGTATAAGTTGTTTGTTTTCTTTTCTTTTCTTTTTGTTTTTGTTTTAAATGTATTTTTACAGTTTTGATAATAGATTTGTTTGTTGGTTTCTTTCTTTCTATCGCATTTCATCTTGCCACAAAAAGCGTGCATTTATTGATGGAACTGTGTGTGTGTGTGTGTGTGTGTATGCGTGTGTGTGTGTATGCGTGTGTGTGTGTGTGCGTGTCTATAAACTAATTGTTTTTTCTTTTCAATTTTGCATTATTTACGGTTGTCTATAATTTTGTTACACAACTAAAACGTTACACTTATCAACTATTTATGCTTCTATATTTATTTTGTTTTTCTTTTTCCCTCTGCTTTCCGGTCGTATTTAAAGTTTTTCTTTAGTTATTGTGCCAGGCACCTATTCCAAGAGTCGCCTGTGGGCGTGGGCGTGGCCGCCCCCAACCGAACCGGCTACACTCATTGAATATTCATTCTTTTATTTTAAATTTCAGTTTAGACCTGTTTTGCATTCACTTAAGTTCTAGTTCTGGTTACACGTTGCAAGTTGTTTTGTTTTTTCTTTTCCTTTTTATGTACAAGCTTGAAAATGTTGTCTGTCTGTGTGTGTGTGTGTGTGTGTGAGTGTGCTGGACAAACGCCCACGATCACGCCCACAACAACATGATCGCGACGCAGAGTGCGGTTCGCAAATGTACGTATTCATTGTAATTATAATAATTATAATTATAATAATAATAATAATAATTGTTAATTAGCGTGCCTAAAACTAAACGTAGTTGCAGTTGTTTTTATGCTTAATATTTATTTTTCTCTTTTTTTTTTTAATATGTATACATAGTTTACAGTTAGGCGTTATATGTTTAGGCATATGCCATATACATACATATATATATATATATATATAGATAATTCTTTCAATTTGTATATATATGTGTGTATATACATATGTGCGTGTGTGTGTGTTAAAAGTTACAATTAAAATGTAATTAGATAAAAACTTTTGCAACTTATGACGAGGTTCTTGTTTTAGATGCGACCAATGCATCACAAAGAAATTATAACAGAATATCTATAGTTACAGTTACAATTGTATTTGATGTACATATGTGTGTGGGTGTGTGTAGTATTTGTGTGTGGTGTGTATAGCTAGGTGTCTATTAATAGCTAAATGGTAACTAAATTCATAAAACTAAGGGAATCGCTTAACTCTCATATACGCTCCAGGATCTCTCATTCACTTTTAGCTGTGTGTGTGTGTGGGTGTAGCCTGTAAAAGCTGCCCTCTTGATAAGTTCTATATATCTGTATATATATATATATATCTATATAATTCTGCTTGTGTGCGTGGGTGGGTGTACATATGTGTGTTTGTGTGTGTGTGTGTGTGTGGGGAGCAATCTTTTGCCGCGCAATTGCAATTGCACAAATTGGCTTTGTATATTTACAAAAAGTTACAACAAAAATGCTATAAAATTAACTGCGCTTATCAAATTTAATCAACTATCTCTCTCCCCCTTTCTGCTCCCTCCTCTTCCTCCCTCCTCCTATCTTATTCAGCATGCATGGACGCCTGCTGCTGTTGCTGCTGCTGCCCCGCCTGCTCCTCCTGCAGCACATTTCGACAGATCTCGTATTTGATGACCTTGGCATGGCCACCGGGCATTATTTGCACCTCCACCTGGGTGGACTGTTGTCCCGCGGCGGCAGCCGCAGCGGCCGCTTGTTGTTGTTGTTGCTGCTGCTGCTGCTGCTGCACGTCAGCCTCCTGCAAAGAGTTCAAGGCTTTAGCAAATCTTTTCTGGCTCAACAATAAAAATAACTTAAATGTATTCATATATGGAAAATGTATTTATAAAAACTAAACTAAAATTACGCTCAAGCAAAATTGAAAAAAAGGGGCGTGGAGGGGGAGGGATGGGTTCTAACGAAATCGAAACATTTCAAAATTGTAGTTTGCATTTGTTTTTGATTTTTCTTTTTTGGGAATGAGGGCACATTTAACAAAGAGCACAGAAAACTAGGGTATAGCTAAATAGGTAAATACACAAAAAACAACAACAACAACAACATACACAGAGAGAGACAACAGGCACAGACACGCAAAAAAACAAAAAAAAAAAAACAAAGAAGATAATAATTGTACATAAATAATTATAGGACACATTGCTAAATACACATGACAATAATACGTATGTTATAGTATTTGATTATTGGGACAATTTGGAATATATATTTTTTGTTTTGTTTTGTTTTTTTTTATACACACCTAAAACGCGCACAGTGAAGCCTTTATTTTGCGTGCACGTATTACAGAATATTGTAACGTTTTTACTGTAGTATTTTTGATCTATGTTTTATTTTGGTTTTATTGGTTTATCAAGTTTTTCTTTTCAAAGAGTCTGCCACACACACACACACACGCACAGACACACACGCACACACAGACAGACGGCACTTTACAAATAGAATTTGCTTTGGTATTTACGAACATTCAGGCTGTGTGTGTGCGTGTGTGTGCATATGTGTGTGTGTGTGTGTGAGTGTAAGTAGTTATCTTTAGCTTTTATTATTGTTCAGTTGATCTTGTTGATCTATTTCTTTATTGTTTATTTAGTAAGAAGTAGTTGGTACAACAAGCTGCAAGTATTCGAAGTTAATTAATTATCATTTCGTGATTTTCATTATTGTTTTTGTTTTTGTTTTTCTTTGTTTTGTTTGTGATTCATTTTACACAATTATATATTTCAAATAAAACATTAAGAAACGCAACACAAGAATTTCAAAGATATGTTTGTATGTAACTAGTTGCTGTTATTTTTATTTATATTAAACTAATCGGAAAATAAACTTGGAATAGAGTTCAATGGAAAAAGAAATGAAAGTTTCTCAACAGACCGACACAAAAGCCTCGAGATCTACCTACAACATTTAACTTAAAGCATTTAACTGCTGGTGTTTTTAATATTATTATTATTGTTATTGTTGATACTCGGTAACAATTGCTTAGTTCGAGTTAATAGCTAAATTAAATTGCATAGCTTAGAGGCTAGACTAACTGCTCCCACATAATATAAAACTAATTAAATTATATGTTAATCTATGCCAGTTTTTAAATTTATTTTTCTTTCTTTTCGTTCTTTTTTTTTTTATAAATCAAAGCAAATTGAAAACACAATAATTTAAATTGAATTGAATAATTGAAGATATATATATATATACATTTATATGTATATATATATATATATGTGTGTGTGTGTAGGTAGTATCTATGGATTGGGTGTGGGGACTTGTTGGGTCTTGGGCTGGGCACTTAGCATACCTGTTGCTGCGATATGGCTGGCTTTGTTTCCAAATGCTGGCGCTGATGCAGCATCAGATGGTTCTTTTGGAAGAATGCCTTTCCACACTCGCAGACATGGGTGCGCACCGTGCAGCCGCCGTTTGGATGTCGTCGATTGTGCTGCATGAGGCCGTGCTTGGCGGCGAATCCCTTGCCGCAGCTGGCGCAGAAATGCGATTTTGGCTTGTTGGCCGGCGATACGGTGACCACATGCTGTTGCTGCTGCTGTTGCTGGATGTGCTGCAGATGCTGTTGCCCATGGACGGGCATTGTGGGCACGGCTGTGACAACCGCTTGCGGATGGGTCGAATTGGCGGCCTGCACCAGCGTGGTCTGCGACATCACCTGACCGGTGGATGATATGATTTGCACCGGCACCGGACTCTGGCCCACCAAATTTGGATTGGCCGTTACCACAGTGCCCGGATTGAGGCTCGCCGTGCTCAAAAAGTGACCGGGCAGCGCTGCTGTCAAAGCGCACAGATCGGTCATAAGGCTCTTGTCGCCCGTGTGCAGTCGCAAGTGCAAGGCGAGCGCCTCCCGGCTGTTAAACGCGCTGCCGCATTCGCTATAACGACCAAAAGTTTTATTATTAACAAAATGTTAAGTAAGGAATAACAGCCATATAATTAGTATTACCGGCAAACGAATTGTGGACGCGCAACGCCATTGGCATCGGTTGTGGAGACGGTGAGCAGCGTTGAATTAGCCGGATTGCTGACAACGGTGATCGTCTGCGGATGTCCTGGATGATGATGCGGCTGTTGTATCTGCTTGAATTTCAATTTAATTAAACATGATGCACCAATTGAGTTTAACTTGTTAAGCATACCTGTTGATTGGCTATAATGGTGGCACTGCTCGTATTGGGATTGACGCCGTTGTGCGCCGCACGGACATGCTGATGCAGTTCCGCCTTGGTGAGGAAACCTTCGCCGCAGCTGACGCAGGGATGCGCCTGCTCGCCGGTATGTACGCGCCTAAGAAACCCCGAAAAAAAACAAATGTTATTAAAAACTGAGCTTGGAGTATAGACAGACGGCTTACCTCATGTGGGATACTAGGGTGCGCTTCTGTAGAAATTCTTTGCCGCAAACTGTGCAGGAGTGTGGTATCTTGCCGTGTATGCGTCCGTGATTAACCAATTGAAATTTGCGTGGAAACGAGGCACCGCAATCAGCACAAACAAATGGATTCAATGAACCATGAAAGCTGCAAAACAATTTGCTTGCTTTAGTTAATGTATTAGGTAAGACAGAGTGTGTCTGCGCTACTAACCGCGAGTGCATAATCAGGTGATTCTCCTGTGCGAAACTCTCACCGCATTCCTCGCAGACGTAGGGACGTTCGCCGGCGTGAAATTTACTGTGCGTGACCAGATGACGCTTGAGGGGAAATGCACGTCCGCACTCCTGGCACACAAATGGCCGCTCCCGACTATGGACACGCGAATGCGTCAACAGATGATGCTTAAGCGTAAAGCTCTTCTTGCACTCCTGACACTGATATGGCCGATCCGTCGAATGGAGCAGTAGATGCGTATTTAGACAATGTTTGTGCGCAAAACTTTTGCCGCAATGGGTGCAAATGTGTGGACGTTCGCCTACAGAGTGAACAGATACAAAGAGAGTGTGGGGAAGAGAGTGTTGGGGGGTTAGACCTGCTCGCTTTAATAATGGGTATGTGCTAGGAACAAGAACAACCACCTGTGTGCACGCGTGCGTGTGTTGTCAAATGATGTTTGAGCAGAAAGGATTTGCCGCACTCGTCACAACTGTACGGGCGCTCCTTTTTGATGGTGGCGTCGGTCTAAAATGGAGAATAAACAGAGACGACGGAAGAGAGAGAAAGGGAGAGAGAGAGAGAGAGAGAGAGAGAGAGACGTTGATTACTATTTATTTAACGCGAGGAATATTTAATTTATAAATATACTATTCTTTTTTTTTAAATTAATTTATTTGATTTGATTTGATTTGATTTGTTTAAGTGTTTTTGTGTAGCATAAATGTTGGGCTTACTTCGCTGAAATGCATTGATTCCTGTAGTTCGGTCTTTGGGGACAATTCTAATGTGCCTGGCTCCAACTTTAAGTTGGGTGCGTCGCCCTGCGAGTCCTCGTTCTCTTCGAGTCCTTGTATTACTTTCTGTACTTGAACTGAAATACCAGGAAGTATGTCACCTAAGAGTGTTGTTGCACCGCCAACGGAACAATAACCAAATGGAATTCAAAGGAAGATATCAAAAATAAAAGAGAAGATAAACAAAGAAAGAAAATCAAAAGTACGAACCGAACACAAACTCAACAGAACGAACAGAAAAAAACAAAAAAACCAAACAAAAAAAAATTAAGAGAAAAGAAAATAAAAATATATATATTTTTTATTTTTTTTTTTTGTATATTTTTAGAAAACGAAAACTAAACTAAAAAAAAAAAGAAAAGAAACAAAACAAAACAAAATTCAATTTTGAACCGAAAAATAAAAAGAGTTGTATATACGGTAAGCAGGGACGCAAAACGTAACGCAACGTAACGAGACATGATGTAACGTAACGTTGCGTAAGCGCATAACGTAAGGTGACGCAACGGGTAAGCAACGAGAATACACCGAATACCAGTGCCAGAGGCCAGAGTATAGCAGTAGCAGTAGAGCAGTAGAGCAGTTGAGCAGTTGAGGAGAGTTGTAGGAGGAGAAGGAGGAGATATTCGAGCACAACACAGATTTGAGATGCTTACTTGGTGTCGCGCCTGGCGCCGTCGAATGATGGTGGTGGTGGTGGTGGTGGTGCGCTCCGTCGCCAGCGGTGATTGTGTGCGTCTGATGGTGGCCGTGGCCGGCTGCAATGGCGCGCTTGATTAAGATCTCATTGCATTCCTCTTGGGTCAGATGCAGTGCACCAATTGAGCTAAAATGCGATTTGGCCGCGGCCGCGGCAGCACCCGATGTGGTCAATACCGTTTGTCCAGTTTTGGCATCAACAATGCTGCCATTTGTCAATGTATGATGATGTGCAGCAGACGCCGGATCACCTCCACCTGCTGCAGCCGCAGCTGCTGCCGCTGTTGCCTGATCGACCAAAAGATCTAATGCGCCACAGCCCGCCGCCCGCCGCCCGTCGTGTGTATTATGAGTGTATAGAGAGTAGGTGAATGATGTGGAAAGGGGCGGGGAATAATGAGGGGGTGGGTGGTAGTGGTAGTGTTGGTGTTGGTAATGCGTGACAGCAATACAAGAGCAAACACAGCGACAACAGAGAGAGAGAGAGAGAGAGAGAGAGAGAGAAACAGAGTTCCAGAAAGTGAATATTACATTTAGTGGGGGGGGGGGGGGGGGGGGGTGTGGGAGAGTACAGCGAGCGAGCGGAAAGTAGCGAGTAGAAACAGAGGAGTAGAGAGATAGAGAGAAAGAGAGAGAAGAGAGAGAACAATCGATTAGCGAAAACCCCTAACGATCGATTATTCAAATCAAATCGATTACAACACATCAACAACGCGTGCAACACTAATTGTATTTGATTTCTCAAACAGATTTTCGTTTGTTTTTAAAAACTGATTTTTAACGACGAACACTTACAGTTCTTATCGAGCGAATTTATGCTCAACACCTGTTGACCAGAGTCCTGTTTTTTGACCACCGTCGATGCGGAGCCTGTGGTAATTACTCTGTGGATGGATAGAGATAGAAAGAGAGTGGGAAAAGAGAGAGAGAGAGAGAGAGAGAGAGAGAAAGAGCGCATCGAAGCGGACGAGAAAAAAACGAGGCTTTATTTTAGCTTTTTCTTGTTTTATGGAACTTTTTTTTTGTTTATCTTTTTTTTTTTATGGTGAGATTCTGATTGTTTTAAGTTTTGTCTTTGAAAACGCACCTTTGTGTTCCGGGCGCAAATGAGGAATCGTTCACCACGAACATGCGCCGAACGACATTGCCCTTATTGCTGCTGAGTGCACCTTTAACATCCTTTTGTACGGCCAATGATCCATCCGTGGATAACAGATAGGGCATCTAAAACGGGTGTGTACACATTGTTTTCAGTATAACTCAGATGCACCAAAAAGTCTCCACAAATACGATTCATAACGGATGATGGATGATGTTATTTTGATAGCATTTTATACTCGATTTGTTTTGCTTTTGATTGTTCATGTCTGTTGTTAGTTTGTTTGCTTGCTTGTTTGATTGATTGATTGATTGACTGATTGATATTGATTGATTGATTTGTCCCCAAAAACCGAACAGATTACAGGAAATGCAAGTGCAAGTGTTTTTCAGCGTTGCTCAACACTGAACGCCGTTGCATAACACATTAATTAATCCAATATACATAGTTTTGGGTTAGGTTAATTAATCTAATTCTATGCTAATGATTAGTACAAAAGTACAGTTGCCACTGCAATTATCGATTCATAGTAGTATTTTTGTATTTTATGTTGCGCTTTGTTGTTTTTGTTGTTCATTTTGTCTTATTAACACGCTACACCTGCGCAGCGCATTGGCGCAGCAACAGTTGATAAAAAAAAAGAAGAGAACACTATGCCAAATGAAAGGAATGCAAGCAGCGGTGGCGGTGGCGACAGCGGCAACAGCAGCGGCGGCAGAAGAACAAGAAGAAGAGCATACGAAACAGCGACAGCAAAGCGCGCGCTTTTTCCACTGCGCTCGAGCAGTGTGTGTGTGAGTGTGTGTGTGTGTGTGTGTGAACGTGTGTACAATTGGACTTTTGACAGATTGTTGAGCGCCAAAACGTAAGCAAGTGTAATCAAAACACACGCACGTACCGCACGCACACTAATGTACCGAGAACTGGGTGTGTATGCGTCCGTAAGAGAGCGTCGTATTCAGGTGTGCGTGCGTTGCGAGTGTGTTAGTGTTGAATATTCAACGAACGGCGAATTGACGTCTGCCGCACACATGCACACAAAATGGTCGCCAGAACACGGCGGCGAATTCAAACACAACGAAACATCGTCTGCGTGTGTAAGTGTTCACAAACGTGCGCAAAGAGGAAGGCAGAAACACAGCGAAATAGGGTTGCACTCTCATGCCAACGAAAAAATGTACTGCCAATTGTATAAGAAAAGTTGTTTTACAAAAACAAAATGAACGCACAAAATGAACAGAAACGCAACATAAAAATTTATGATTAAAAACCAATATGAAATAAATTTACAGTAAATTAGATGAATGGAAAAATATGCTTATGTATATATATATATATATATGTTTATCGATTATATTCGATTGCTTTTGCCAACGCCATACTATAGTAGATTTCGCCTACCACACGTTTAATAATTAAACCATATAGTTTAATTAAATTGCCTTATCACGGGAGAATGGGAGTTGCATTGAAATCAGCTGCCGCCGCGTGTTGCAGCGCAACGTGCGTATTTTTGTTTGTTTGCATACAATCAAATCTACATGCATACGTATGCTATGTATGTACCTTACGTACGCATACTTTTTACAAATACCAAATTATGAATGTTTACGAATGAAATGGAAACGAAAAAATTTCGTATAAATGTATGGTAAAAGAATTCTAACACACTCGCTCGCATTCGCATGACCAACGCAGTTACATAAAAGTATATGTAGCTGGTTTTTTTTCTTGTATTTGAGCCTTCACGTATGTATGCATATCGTATGTGTATACATACACGCGCTCAACCCTGCGTACGTACATACACATATATATGGCCGATGCACTTATACATACAGAGCGCAAAACCAGCGAGTGAGCGAGCGAGCGAACGACGTAGCTGTATCTGTATTAGTGATGGGAGCGTGACATATAATTTTGTCAGCCAATAACAATTATGTCGTGCTACATGAAAATTATATAATTTTAAATTGAGAGATAATTAAATGTGCTTTAAAGCTGTACTTTGTATGTGAATAGCAGTAGCACTTTTGACACTTTAGCAGAGAATTAATGAGATTTAAACTCTAATCGTGTTATTCGTGTACACGACCACCATTAGGTGGCCATCTCTAATCGGTGTGCTTGTGTGTATGTGGCGCTGTTGTTAGGCCAACAACAACGTACAAAAGGGGAGCGGAGAGAAGACACAACACGATTCGCTGTGGGAAAGCAACAGCAACATATATTACGTGGGTGGCTGGAGGGGGGTTGGCTAGCTAGTTCGTTGGGTCGATTGGTTATTTAGCAAAGCAGCTTGCACTTGCAAAAGCACTCGCATTCGATATAAGGAAAGAAACAATGAAAAAAAGAATAAAACAAATTGATATGCAACGAAGGAAATTCGAAGTATACATACAAATTGAGACTTCACTTACCGATTCCCCACTGACAGTGTAGTTAATATTTGGCGATATCTCCAAAACTGATTCTGCGGCACGATTGCCGTTGTCTGCAAAACCCCAAGTGTAGCCGAAGGGCGGCGGATTGCTCTGTGCAGCGCACATTATAAATGAGGCAAAGCAGAAAAAGGGGGAGGCGAAAGAGAAAAAAGCGCAAAATTTCCAAACGCAAATGTAATTGCACTTTTCTGTTGCTTGTATTTGTATTATATGTATATGTATGTAGTTATACAAAATCACGTACAAAATACTAGCCTCCTGCTGTACGTCGACGTCGCGTTTTTGATGCAATTTGCAATATTTCTCTCTTTTTCACTATTTGATCGCGACAAATATGCGACGAAAACGAGCGACGAGTGCGGCGACGAACTACACACACCGAAAAGAAAGTCAACTTGCTTCTGTGGCTGAGGCGGGCGCCATTTTTTTCCGTTCCCTCGAAAAATTCACTTCGTTGGCGCTGGCGTGCTTCTTGCTGCTGCTGCTGCCTCAAATTCAATTCAATTCATTGATAAGCGCACTTTTGAATTGGTGTGTGTTGGTGTGTGTGTACGCGCTATGTATTTATGTGCCGTATTTGCAATAAAATTTATAAACAAAATAAACGCACACAGTTTTTTTTACCCCAAATATAAATTCACAGACACAGACACCACTGAAAAATTCCTTAGTGTTCGTGCTCGACTGCTGACGCCATTTTGTATGAGTGACCAGTGTGTACACAAAGTGCACAGCACACAGAGTTGCACGAATACAGTGTTATTAAATACATCCACGTCACTTTACAGCGTACATTTGGTCCTTCGATTATGGTCCTGTAATTAATTTAATGCTCTGCTATCAATCTTGCGAGTCAAAGGCTATTCGATTTCTTTAAATTAATATTTCGATAACAGCTAACTTGTTTGTTGACTATCGATATCGTTTGTCGGTCTGTTTTCATAACACATTTTCTTGTTAAACAAAGTTTTGAATAAATCCTGAAATGTCCCTGTCACCTGCCAGTGGCATTGGCCGCTTCTATAAGCACTCGGCCAAGATAATACGTTTTGTGCGTCTAGGCTGCACGAATCGTCCATTCTATCACATTGTTGTTATGGAGGTCTGAGTCTCACTTTCAAGTTCCATAACATATCTCACAAATCCGTGCTTACAGCGCCGCAAGAACCAACATCAGCCTGTAATTGAGCAAGTGGGCTCCTACGATCCGCTGCCGAATACATCGAACGAACGTTTGGTGGCCCTCAATACGGAACGCATACGCTATTGGCTGGGCAAAGGCGCTCACATGTCCGAGCCGGCGGCCGAGCTGTTAGGCATCGCGGGCTTACTGCCCGTTCATCCGCGCACCTACATGACCGCCTGGCGCAATCGCAGGGCAGCAGCGGCGGCAACAGCAGGAGCGGCCACTGAAACCACTGAGAAAGTCGCGACGGCGTAGTGTGTTGCATTATCCATATTCATCTACTCAATAAATAGTCATTGTTTTTTTACAATTTATGTGTAACAAGCCGAGATTTCACTATAAACACATCTAATGCATGTATAATAATATGTATCATCAATTGGAGGGGTTTTCAAAACCACGCGGCATGTGCCATAACAATCAAGTATAAATTTACAAAGTATGGACAAAAGTGTTCGAAGATAAAATTTGGCGTGAGGCCCTTCCTGGATGCGGCAGCTACAAATGCTTAAGGAAGCGAATTAGTCCAAATAGCGTATTTAGTCATTTTTTAGCACACTGCCCGCCTTCCGCATGCCATCATCAATGATCTTGTCGACAGCTGAAAGCGTAAATATTTAATTAACAATTTGATTTATCCCAGATTTGAGGTCATATATCACTTACATGCATGATGCTTAAGAAAATATGGTCGCACCAGCTTGTTGTAGATGATAACCGATCCATTATTCTCCATAGGAAGCATGCACCAAATAAGGAATCCACACTGGCGAAGAGAAAGGCGATAAATACGATTAATGCCAATATTAGTTTACATGTAAGAGACTTGGAACTCACTTTTAATAGCCAATAGAAGGGTATGACTTGGGTCAGAACGTGGGAGAAGAACTCAATGACTGTGAATATGCCAAAGGTTACCCAGTACGTTAGCCATTTGGTGTCATCCTGCTTGGTACTTGATTCTATGGCATGAATGGACACATATGCCGGATACATAACACCAATAATATTGCACAAGAGCTGGGCACCCCAGCCAAATATCAGATAGAGCGCACAGAATGCGGCGGCACCTAAAAGAAATTTCAATTTAATATCCGTTAAGTGTATAAACTTTGACTTATTGCTAATCTACCAAAGCGCACAATCGGATTCTCTTTGAAGAGCTCAACTAGCTTATCTTCCAATGCCTCGAACGCCATGAGCTCTGATCTCAATCTGGCTGTGCTCTGTCGAAACTATCAAATGCGATTGCCCTTTTCGGTTTTTGCATTTGCAGTGTGGCGCATCTGTGTGGCTATTATTAACCTTTTAGCTCTTGTCATATCTGCACTTGATATCTGGCCACGCGCGATTCGCCTATAAATTATAAATGTTTTGTACCTCAGCATTGCCATGATCCAAGCCCAAAGAAAACCCAGCGGCCAGTGTTGCATTACCTGCCGGTTCGAGCGGACGGAAGGCGACGAATAATTGATTCCCAATTGGAGAAGGTTTGCAATTAATTATCGTTAGTGACGTCACATCCTCAACTAATGTATTTCGCGTACATTTTCTGTTATGCTACTGTACCGTGTCGACAGACGAATCACAAGCATCGCACACACACACACACACACACATGCGCACACGCACACATGCACAGACAACGGGCGGCGACTCACCTGAGCCAATATAGACCACGGGCACTCGAACATTTCGACGCACCGCCTGCCGCTGTTTTATTAGCATAATATAATCCCAAAGCCACATTTAAGGCTTTTCGGGTAGGGCTTTTATCACAGCTGTGTTGTTACTTTTAAAGCATGACACACACACACACACACATATGTATGTACGTTTGTGTGTTCACCTGGTCGCACGTCTATATACACGTGTACAAAACGCCACGAAAGCACACTACGCGGTCAAAGTCGAAGCTGAGCTTGACCTTTTGTGTTGCCAATTAAAAATATACGTTTGTGTAATATATTTTTTTTTCCTGATTTCGCGAAAAACTCAAGTGTTGAATGTGCGCCACAATGGGCAAAATGTACGCTACTGCATTTGTATGTGAAGTAAACAAAAAAGAGCAAAACGTTTATGGAAAAATATACACACACGCATGTAGGCTGCTCGCATATGCATGGGTGTGTGTGTGAGAGCGAGCATTGTGTGTGCGCCTGTGTGTGGAGCTGTAAAAAGTATTTAGTTCTAACAGTAATCCCAGCCTGCTTTTCTAGTATAACAATTGTGCCTATTTTGGCGCCCGCATGACATGTTCGCCTTACTGCATTATAACAGATTGCGATTGCTATTTATAAATGCTGAAAATTCCACTTAGTCATGATGCGTAGCCACGTATTATGCAGTCGGCGGGGGTGCGTCAAGGTCTAGTCCTGTTCGATTGTGAAGGACGTTGAGTTTTGATGGAGACGGAACTCACCAGTGAATATCTTTACTCTATCGACGCCAGTCCGTTGCTCCACGAGATCGAAGCCTTTGGTCCATGGCTTGGCGGGGTCACGCAGCGCTCTGTCCACGGACACCTTTGAGTTGTCCAACCATTGCGTTACCTGGGACAATTGTGTGGCCATTGTTAACTATTAATTTCAGCAACTAATTGATTTAATATGCGTCGCCGACTAGTTTCATCAGTGTTGTTCCAGTTTTTCGATAAAGATAATCTGTGAAGTCACCGCAATCGACCGACCGCCACAGCGACTCAAATTTGCGCTTGCAGCCAACTTCACGTGACGCAAACATGGCGCACCAACATCTTTTTAATTGTGAAATTCAACCGGTTTACTAATTTAATTTCTACAACTCCTACAGTACTTATATAATAAATTATAGAAAATTAAATGAAAATATAAACAAAATAACGCGTTTTATTAAAATAAAAGTATTGCACAGTTATAGTTACTAGCTACAGGATACTAACAGCTTAGCTAAGTCCATTTCTTAAATTTGGTTAACTTGTAAAGCTAACGGATTTGCAAATATTATTTCTTTGCATTTCTCTCTTCACATTTAAACCGTCCATTAAGAAATTGGTCATAAAGACGCAAGTACAGCTGCTAATACTAATTAGACAGCATTGAGTGCGCTTTAGGGAGGGGGGCGGGGGGACGATTGAGTCTGGGAATGGAGCAATTTTGGTCATATCGGTTTTGTTTGAACAAAACTAGCAACAATTATACAAATTTGTACTTAGCGTTAGACAAAAAAGACTAGAACAGCACTAGGAAGAGTGCGCTAATTTAGGTTGATATTTCTCCCGTAGGTCGAGCAGTTCGTCAAAGAACATTAACACCAAAGTGGAGTGCGGTGCGATACGCAGATAGTTGGGCCAGAATCCCTTATACATACCGTATATGCCCTCGGTACGCAGGATCTTTATGCAACAATCCAGCCAGCCCTTGTACTTAAGGCCCTGACCCTGCGCATCGATGCCCTGATTATACATGCGCGTACTAATCACATCCGGCGGCGTAATCGCTACGGACATAATGGAACCGGCAATCAGACCAGAACAGAACGAGTTCAATGTGGGCTGCGTGACCAAATCGTATTCCACCAGCAGCGTCTTTGTCTTGCCAAAGGTGGCTATCTGGGCGCCAGAGCCGACAGCGGCTCTTGGCAAAGCGGCCAGGGAGCCGCGCCAGAGACCGGCAATGCCGCCCGTGCTATATATATCCCGGAAAGCGCCGCTCATCGATGTGTGGGCATGCTGATGGCCAACGGCAATCTCTCTGACAGCCTGCGACTGTAGCTGCGTCTTAATCTACAAGCATTGTAAGAGTGGGGAGCAGATTATTAGACGCGTGTTATCAAATGTAATTATGGTCTTATCTAAGCCGAAATCATGGCATTGCTTGCTCAGCAATACAAATTAGCGCACATGATGCCGCGCGTCAAACAATATTTGACATTGGGCGAACATATAGATAAGTTGTCTAAATGGGGCATGCTTTATGTAACAGCCTCGCGCTTCGCTTACCATGAAAAACGGACTAGAAAAGTAGGAGCCAACGATGCCGCCCACTGCGCCCCAGACCAGACCCAGGCCAAAGGAGACCTCGCCCTTCTTATCGTGCATCCAATGCATGTTCATCGCTTTTGTGTAAATGCTCAACCTGATGATGAAATAGCCAACTTTGAGTGAGAATCAAGCAAGCAGCCGCCCGATCTTTGCTTACCTGAAGGAGTTGATGATGAACTGAAAGTAGAGCGCCGGCGTCAGGCCCTTCTGCAGGCCTCTCAGTCCGTCATTTTTGGCGACTGTGATGAACGCCCGTAGGACGCCTCTATAGGGCTCCACATAGGATCCTCGCGCCGCCAGCTCGCCCTGCAGCTGTATGCGCGTCTTGATAACCTCTATGGGATTGGTGAAAAGTGTGGCGCCCACAGAGGCCAGGCCGCCCAGTACAAAGTCCGATGTCGCCATCAGTTTGCGTTCACGTTGAGGTTGACTAGAAATAGCTCAGCAGGATTTTTTTTGCGTGACGGCAACGGCCGATCAGGCATATTACGAGGCGGCAACAGCAACAACTGCTCAGTGCACAGGTGTTCTAAGAGATTCACAATTAGGTAAATGATTTTCAGCGTTCGATTTTGCTCCTTTAACAACTGCCGGCGTCTACTGACTTATTAGAAATTAAATAAATATAAATAATGTTGCTCGGCGCGCGGGGTGCTGCAACCGTGTTGTGTGTGGTTGGTTAATGTAATGGGCTGTGGGCACCCTAAAACTTTAAAATTTGCTGCACTGTTATAAGCAGCGCGGGCTAATTTGCTACTACAACAAATGTTGTTACTCGCCTGTTGGACTTGCTAAATATAACTAACTAATACGGTCGATGCACGATAATGGTCTGAGACATGATTTAATGGCCAAAAGTTGTTTTTAACGGCTGTTCAAACACAACAGCGCATGGCGCTTTAAATGTTATTTAACATTTTAATCGCAGAGCTTTCAAAACAGCTGTTGCTTAGTGTTATCTATCGATTGTTACGATACTATGTTTACTAATTACTTTTTAGACTCAAGTAAATTTGTATAGAATTTAAAATACAAACAATTGAAATTGTCATAAAAAGAAATCCTAATCTAGAGCCGTCGCAACCGTTAGCAACAATTGCAGGTGGATATATTGATATCGACTATCAATACGCCGATAAGTCTAACAATTTATTTAAGTGTACAGCCCTGGCTAGCCTTGGTAGTCTGGCAGCCCTGGCACAGATGCAAAACAACAAAAATTCGTGGAATATTTTAAACATTAACAATAAAAAGAAACAAACAAACGAACGTGTATGTCTGCATTTACATTGAGGCACATATAGCACGCACGCAGGACGTGCCGCACAAACAAGCACGGACGCACTCACGCAGGACGTGCCGTTAACAAAATGAATAAATGCTCCGTTTATTCCCTGCTCAAATTGACGCTTGCAATTGCGTTCTATGCGCCAACTGCAATTGTTGGGTACAAAATTGTGCGTCTGCAGGATAATCTGTGCTCGGATAAGCTCATCTATACGCTGGCCAAACCCTTCCGTGGCGATCCAACGCTACGGCTCACCGAAGATCACGACTCGGGCGCCATTATAACACAAACTTGGAATGTGACGCTGCCCAGTTTTGGTCATTCGGCAAATAAAATCAAATACGACTGCCAGTTCCGTGTCCAGACCAACGATCGTCCGCCGCGTGGCATTTACACAATCATCACGCGGTTGAAGTTCAGGATCGATCCGGTGACCAAGAAATGCATCGACTACATTCAATTTACGAGTGGGAATCGTTCGCCCAGCGAACGCATTTGTAGTGATATCTCCATTGATGGGCCCGCGGGCCGTTTGATATTCGATCAGCGGGATCGGGATGTGCATGTGCATATCTTTATTGATCGCGATCGGCATATATTTGGCGATCCACTGGAGCTGCGCATGGTGCTGACCGCCCATTCCGAGTGTCAGTTTGCTGGTGACTTTTTATGCAATCCAAAGGATCAATACTCTTGCATTTCGCGTCATTTTGTGCGTGACAATATCACCAACTGCATGTATCCGTGCCGGGACGAGGGCACCTGCTTCCACGATGCCATTCCGCCCGAGGAAATGGACACAACGAATGTGGCTCTATCGGCCATAACATCCCTCATCTTTACCATGCTGGGCGTCGGCTTTTGTGTGTGGATCTGCTGGAAGTATTGGAACTGCATCACAGTACAACAACATGCCCATGAAGCGTCCGCCGCTCGCTTCAATCAGCGACGTCTGCGGGTAAGTACATAAATTATAGCTAAATTAATTATGTATTTAACGAAAATCGGTTGCTTTCAGTCCGATGTGCCCACCATTGAACTGCCCACGGCGCCATCATATGATGAGATGCTGCCACATGATTTATCACCAGGATCGCAGGATCATCAGCAGCAGCCGGCAACGCCCAAAGATTTGCCACCCAGCTACGAGTCACTCTTCCCCGACAGATAAGGGCTGCCGATAGTTAATTAGTTGATTGCTCTGCTCTGTGCCAGACGATAAGAACCAAAATATGTTGGCGCCAAACTCACATTTAATGCAGCACAATTGTTGTAACAGTTCCATTACTAATTAGGTATTTTTCCAATTACATAAAGTAATTGAATGTAATTCCACAAAACAAACGAAAACAAGTAATTAGCAGGAAGTTATGCAATGTAAATATGCACCATCGTTATAGTTGTATGCGCTGATTTTATGTTTTCGATATTCGATTAGCTTTAGGCCAAAACTAAGATTATTGTTTTATATACATAAGATCGTGGATAAATGTGTTCAAACGCTAACTAATCAAGTACAACCAACTACAGCAGCTAAAATTTTAATTATGCGATTCCCTCCCGTTTGTTTATGTTTTTTTTTTTTTTTTTTGTATATATACGCGAAAATTATGTTTTTTTTATGTTGATATAATAATTGTTGCTAAACAGGTTTTTATGTCAAAAGCTCTGTCGTTGAACAAATCTTGTAGTGTGGCATTCCGCAATCTCAATCAAACTCAAATAGAACTCGAACACTAATGAAATCTCAAGAAATTAGTTACACACAATTCTACCAACTAAATGCGAAACTACAATTAAAACTAGTTAGCGAAAATTTTGAGATTCCATTGAATTAATTGTAATATAAGTATTAATCACTGATAACTCTATGTATATGTATTAGCTGCATGGTAAATCCACAGAATTAGCGGCATTCCATCTAGTTGTACCTGTACCATATACATACATATATATATTTAACTATATACAAAATGCTTTTGTGAAACAATGTAAACAAAAGACAAAATACTACATAGAAGAAAAAAAAGACATAAATTATGTTATTGTGCGCCTTGGTCGTCAATTGTTTAAACAAATCAATAAGCGATATTGTATTATGTAAGCAACAGTATATATTCGAAATATTTAATTGCAAAAAAAACCGATTAAGTATAAACACTAACGGTCAATTTAAAGCACACACACACACACACACACACACACACACTCACATATACGTATACTAACTATAAATAAACGAACTAAATGTTAAAATTGAACTCTTTTATGGGCCAGGGGCGCGGGCGAGCTACACCAGTTTACATTCAACTTTTATTTACCAAATGCCTGCACCTGGTTTCATCACCTGGTGACACACAGAGCCAAAAACCAGATGATTCAGCCACGGGCTCCCCAAAAATACAACAACAACAACAAAAACAAACAAACAGCAAAAAAGAAAACCAGTTACAATCAGCAAAGATTGGCTCGGTATATGCTTTATTTTTTTTTTAAATTTATTTTTAGATCTAGTTAATTGCGCGTGGAGAAAGTTTTAAGTGGTGTTTTTCTACCTAAACTCTTGATTAGTAGAAAAGGAATTTTTGGTTCTAATCGCGATTTTGTACACATATTTGTTTCATTACATTTCCCTAAATAAAAATAAAAAAAAAAACATTTATTTAAACATAATCAAATAATAATTATTGTACTTATACTAATGCTCTCTTGGTTCTTTCTTAGTTCCAGTTTCGGTTCACGGCTTAGAAGAACCGGAACTTATGGCTTGAACCGGTTCGTCTTAACATATAAAGTCTTCACGTCTGAAGTCTTAATTTGACACGCAATTTTAACACTTATACTTGATCTCTTTGGCTACTGTACTGAACAACAATTAATCATATAAGGCTAACAATCTGATTGCAACTTTTGAAAAGCTTTCAATGCCAGTGTCAAACCTATCTTAAGTTCAGTCGAAAACTGGACATTGGCATTGGGCAAGTTCAACGCCAGGTAGCTGAATAAAGTAAATCAATTATATGAAACTACAAAGAAATCAATCAAATATGTTTAATTTAAACAACCATTCATTTTTTCATCAACCAACAAGAGTCAATGTACGGCCCTTTGTTGGGATCAAGTTCAGGGCCAATCTCGGAACTAGCTCAATTTTCCATATGTTGCTTTATTTGTACCTGTCGCCAATTACAAACTTGTTATAGTCTGTAATCAGGCCATTAATTTGTGTTGATCACCTTATTTTTTTAATGTTCGGCTTTATCTAGAAGAAGTCTGTTGTCAGATAACGTATCGTATATAAACAGTACAATCGTGTCGGCTAGAACGCAATTGCCGGGCCGACGTTAATTAAACTATGTCCACATTGGGAATTAAGTCATTTGAGAATATACGAGGAATGGACGCAAACCTGTTTCCAAGCTGTAAATATGAAATGACAACTAATGACAGATGCCACAATCTCGATTGTTTCTAAGTGAAGACAAAAGAAGCGTGAAAATTGTGAAATTCACGTGGTTTCTGCTTTTTGGCTGTCTGTCGAGGGCATATCGAATAGATGGGCTCACTTGAGACCCTTAGCTTTGATACTTGATTTGTCGCATTCTAAAAAATTTCAAATTCAATATAATGTTCTATTTTGTTTCAGCTTGGGCTTACTGGTTCGGCAACTGGTTCGCCAATTGGTGCGGCAACTGGCTCGGCTTAAAGTTCGATAGGCGGTTCGATAAAAAAAAATGAATTCCTGTTTTAGTTCTTTTCGGTTCGGCTTCAATCCTTGCTTAAAATAATTACATAACTATATTTAATAAATTTTTAAAGTTCGTTCTGATCAACTTGTAGTCATTTGTAGGATATTAAATGTGCAGCTGCTTTGCGATCAGCTTGACGGGCTTGTTAATTTTATAATTTTCCAATTAGCATGTCTGCGGGCCCAATAAGCATATCAATATATGCTTAGGGCCACGCCCTCCAGCTAAACTGTAAAATGCTGTGAGACACACTTTTTATTCTCTTCGTTTTATTTTTAAACAGAATTCAAGAAATGTGCAAAATAACAAAAGCGACAACAGAAACGAAAATGTTGGCTACATGAGGTGCTATTGTGTATATGTATGTGTGTATGGGTATATAATTATAAATTACACCAGTGCGTGTGTGTGTGTGTGTGCGTGCGTGTGTGTGAAGTGCAGAGCAAAACGCGCGCGGCAATTGCTCTGCAGTTGCCTTTTGCATTGCCGGCTGCGACGGTTGTTGTTGTTGTTGTTGTTGCTGTGCCTGCTGTTGTTGGTTTTAGCCATTTGCTTGGCTTTGGTCAGTGGCTGCAATTAGCCATGTTACGCTAAGTAAAAGCAACGACAAAACGCAAATTGTTGAAATTACTTATTGCCTAGAAAAATTAAAAAAAAAAAAAAACGAGTTGAAGCCGCGCCGCGATCAACGCGCAACCGGTTCTCCGTGTGTGTGTGTGTTGGTGTGATTCAGTGTGTAGTGTGTAAGGTGGCGGAGGGGGGGGGGGGGTAGGTTTTACCCATACCAGCTCGAGTCAGTCGACAGCAGCTGTCAAGCAGCAGTTGCTGCGAGCTGCGCTCAGTCGGCAACACAAACCTGAACCAGAAAGATCAATTCGCGGTGTCTGCAAAGCGCGTCGAGTGCCACTGAACTTGCGGTAAACGTCAAATTGAGGGAGGGGGTCAACCCGAACAGCGAACACCGAATACTATTACTGCGCGTGTTGCCTCAAATTCGAATTCGAATTAGAATTCGAATTCAATTGAAAGCAAACGATTTATTTGAAATATTATATGCAAAATATTTTATTATTGATTGTCAATTGTCGTTGTGGAATTCATTTGATTTTGTTTTAAAGCCAACGCGGAAACGTTAGTTTACTTAAGCAGAAATAGCAGAAGGTCGAATACAGTTTTATGTAAAACATAAATAAACAATTTGTGCCCGTGTCTAAATATAAATGCATAAACTTTACTTGAGTTCATATAAAACATTCACGAATATGACGACTGCCATTAAAGAGCACAAAATGCTGTTAATTATTGCACGTAAGTTAATCAAAAATTCAATTCAATTATTTTTAATTAAGATTGGAAATGTTCTGGACACTAGTTAGCAAATTTTGTAGTTAATTTGTATTGGAAATTCCCCTGCTAAGCAGAATTTCCCTTTTTCGAATTTCCCTTTAACAGCTTTAACAGTATGCCATTAGTTAACAAGGTGTTTAACTTGAAGTTAAATAGGAAGTTTTTACCATGGGCTTAGTTTTAAAAAACTTTGCGAATATTTTACCTTAAATTGCGGCCTACGTTTAGAGTTAAACTAAAAGCGAAGCATGTGAATTATGTGGGTTTAGTTTTTATTATCATATTGTTGTTATTGTGGATAGTTATTTAAATGTAATCCGAATAATGCAATTGCTAATGAGCTGTACTTCGTACTTGACTTAAATTATTCATATAGAGAATATGCATGGGAAATTTCCGCGGTAGTTCTCATTAGTGAAAAGGTTGAGCAGCTACACAATACATAAAGGCTTATATCTCCGCAGCTCAATGAAGTCGTATGGGCGGGCTGTCAAAATATCAAAGGTGTCTTCCTAATACACTAAGAACTTGTTAACATTTTGGCAGGCGAATCGCATCGCATATCATATCATAATTTATGACGAAATTTGTGCATCAGCTGATAAAAATGTTTGGCTAGTCGCGCAGGCTTATATGAGTGTAATCGTGGCTAAATGCTTTATGGGCTCGCCAACATCTGTATAGAGTATGAAGTGCGTCTGTTTTATTGGTGGACTAGACAATATCGTATTGTCACAGCTTATCGGGCCCATAAACAACGCTAACGATGTCTATAGATAAACGGGCATGTGATCTACGGACACGATAAATATAATTTAATCAAATCAAGTCAAGTCTTCAGTTTCAGTTTCAGACCAACAAGTTTAATTGAATTATAAGCCGTAGTTCGGCATTGAGGGAGCTCTCACCCTCTCGCTTGAAACGGTTTAACGGTTAACCGGTTCGGCCTGCACTTTATGCTAATTTTCACACAAAATTCTGTTTGGCTTGTCAACAAGGCATTGGACTCCCCTTGTGATCGGCGCAAAAGCTATGCAAATTACGGTCCCCATTCCCACACTCCACACGCCCCTCCCATCCATACACGTATGTGCGCCATGTCGTATACTTAATACTTATTAAATCGAGTATACGGCACGTGACCGCCTGCTATTTGTTGTTGTATGCAAATTGAAAGATTCTGTAAATTGTGAAATGCGTACACTGACCCGAGAGAGGGAGAGAGCGTTAGAGAGAGAGAGAGAGACAGAGAGAGTGGGAGAGTTGCTTGGACTATGCCACGCGCCTTGACTTTAAATTCAGTCACAAATGGGCGAAAAGAATGTGCAAATAGATAAATTTGACTTTAGCACGTATTTGCCATTAGACATTTAATTGTTCAGCTTGTGCTCTTATGCTCTTGTACAGGGTATCAATGGTGTGTCATGCACAGAAGCAGACATGAAAGAGTCCATAATGTACATATATATTCTCGATAAGTATCAACAGCCCAGCTATAGTTATATAGGAATGATCGCTCGAGAATTGAGTTCTTTTATGAATATCTGTTTCTTATTCAAGAAATCTTTATCAAACTTGGCATTTAATTTAGTTCTATTATGAAGCAAAGAAGTAAGCAAAACTGGTTTGGGTTTGGCTTTTTATATTATAGAGTTTCAAAGGGAAGAATTGATAGGAAAATATGTACGGAAGACTTTTGTGTTTATTAAGATATCTTGTTTTAGCTGTCTACTCTTAACATATTCGCAAACTTTGATCGCATCGGACTACTATATCAAATGATTCCTATAGGAATTGATACCCTGCCCTAGGCGTTTCGTTCATTCTGGTCTTTTCTTTTTGTTTTTGTATAGTCAGACACTGGCCTACGCGCATTTTATTATATTATAGCATATTATATATTATTTTCTTATCAGCTGCCGCATTTTGCGCTCTATAATTAGCCCCTGGGCGCTTTTAAATGATTTTATGATATGCTTAATTGTGTGCTTAACGTACATCAATCTTCAAATTGAAAACGAAAAAAACAAAAAATACAAACAAACTTGATTTTTTGTGAAGTATTTGCACTTCTAATCGAGCTCGGAATGAATCAACAATACGGCTAAAGTGCTTTTTAAGTGCCACTGCGGCATTTGGCAATTTTATCAAACAAATATAAAAATAAGTTTTACTTTTCTTTTCATTTTTGAATTCCAGCTTGCCAGACTGGCGGCTGCCACGTACTGCCCAATTGTTGTTGAGTCAATTTTTTTATTTCTTAGATTATTATTGCAAAATGCACAAATCCAATATTTGTATATATCATATACGCGACAGCTTATTGGCGCAGTTGTTGTGGCTTTCTGTGGGGCTAACTCAGGTGCACACAGCTTGGCTGGCCTTGGTTCCGTTTCAGTTTTCTACAAACGTTCGATGATAAAGAGAGTTTGATACAATGCGTCTTCAGTTTGTCTGACACCATTTTGCGGCAACGGGGCGTATGCATAATATTATTTTCATGCAAGTAGACGTATTTTGTATTTAGTGTGAACACGAGTACCTGCTGCCAGTTGAGCCTAGGGCAACAATTACTGTGTATGCCACATTTGCAGCCACATTTGGCGTTGTGAAATTGATAAAAGACAAACAAAAAAAAAATGCCAGTTATCAAATGTCAAAAGCTATGGAAGTGCCGTGTGCTGTAACATAAAGATAGGCATGATTGACTCTATGATGACGAGCAGATATTTATGTCGCTGACACAAGTTGGTTTCTAAGCGCTGCAATTTGCCAGACAAGCTGCAAACTCATCGAATCGAATGTTCCGGCAGTCTTTGCTTGCAAATGACACAACTCACAAACAATAACAAAAGCTCAAGAGCACACTTAAACAATAACAAAAACAGCATCATAAACAAAACTAATAACAGAATCTTTTGTGTTGTTTTGCCTTTGGTTTATTATATTTTTTTGCACCAGCAACTTGAGTAGTTGGCTATTTTTTTATTAGGCAGGTGCTTGAACAGGTAATCAATTTAGCTGCCATCAGACGAACCGACGCCAAATGCTTATCGGCAATCCGCCAGAGAAATTAAACGCTCTCCCATTATTTATGTTTTTACTGTTGCCCAATTATTTACCCATTTATCGCTTTATAATGAACAATTTCGCGCGGCTAAGTTCTTAAAAAACGCGCCCAATTCTGGGCTATATTTAGAAAGCAAAGAGACATATTCCTTTTTATTGGTCGTCAAGTGTTTGTCTTCGTAATTTGCGCACGCCCAAAATGAGGAATGGCCGCGTACATAGATAATATAATAATATACTATATATTTATATATAAGCATAGGGGGAATCATGTCCATTGATAGCTTATCTGTACGATCGTTCGTAGTAAAAAAAAATGCCATCAGCATTATTTCGTTTTGATTTCTTGTTACTGTGTGCGTTATGTTTCTTGTTTTATCAGCAGAATGCCCGGCTCTATAATATTTTGTATTCAATTTTTTTTTTTCACCATTTCAGTATTCAGTGTCTGTGCGACCGGAGCACATGCTCAGTCCTATCTGTTAACCTTGGAGAACGTTCTTACGCGCCAGCTGCCATATAATCTAACGACTGTGAATGGTACAAACGAGACGGATCTGTTTGCCGAGCAAGTGGATAATAATACAAGAATATTTGTCTACAAAAATAGTAAGTATTTCGATTAGAGATTGATAGAGCTTAAAACGACTAGGGTTTACTCTGAACCTTCTTCTGCCTATATTAAATGCAGCTCGCACAAAGGTTTGTTAATGGGATACCTTATGTGCATATGCTATTCGAGCAGCTACTTGTCAAGTTTGGAGAGTCTAGCTTATCGAAAACCAAAGAGATTTGCTCAGAAATACGGACATTCGATATCGATTTTTATCGATCGCTTGGTAATTGAGCAAGTAATCGATGTGGACCTTAGTTAAACATTTCAAGTCTCTAGCTGCTGAGATCCACGCGTTCAACAGATGGACGGACATGCGGGCGGGCGGACAGACAGACGGACGGACGGAGGGATGGACTGACAGATTGACAGACAGACAGACAGATAGATAGACACAGATGGACACAGCTAGATCAACTCGACTATTGATGCGTGTCACGAATATATACATATACTTAAAGGGTCGTAGATGCTTCCTTCTGCTTGTTACATACATTCACATAAAAGCAATATACCCTTTTTAACCATTTTCATTTGCTACAAATCCCAGTAAGGAAAGTTGAGAGTAGAATTTCAGTTCTGAGAATAAACTTCCCTGTCATAGGCATCGTTGCATTGTTGCAAATACAATTATCGATCTATATACCATATTTAATTCATTTCAAGTGTTTTCCTGTGAGTTAGAAAAGGTCTGTTACAAGGCATACAAAGTCTACAGACACATCAAATAATAATAATATATCAACGTTTTGCCGTTATTAACCATTTGCAGTCGTAACTTACAACTTAATAATTGGTTGACAAACAGGTTTCAATAAAAGCGTTTAGCGTTCAGTCCAGCTGGGAACCAGACAGTCCCCGCGTATCAGGTGCTCGTTGGACTGTGACGCGTTTCACAAAATCGAACTCTTCTTGCGTCATCAACTGAATGACACATTTAACAATTGTCACTTAGATACAGTGAGTTTTAGGGGAGGGGGGGAGGGGTATCTATTGGGCTAAAAGAACATATTGTATAATATGCTTTAATAGGGCTTCCACGAGTGTTTTCTGTACTCAAGAAACGCAAGTCGAATCGATTCAGATTATTCACTCGAAGTAAAGTGATATTTAAGAGTACAAAAGCTTATCCAATTGTCAAATTACCAACTGTGCCACATAAAGGAACTTTTTGGGCTTAAAAGTCCTTCCGTTTCACAGAGGACGCCAGAGGAGCCTTGCCTTTTCAGCTATCAATTTGTCGCTATCCATTTTAATTGACTTTTCGCTAAAGTTTGTTTTTGATCTTTATTCGATTTCAGCAGTTGTTGAGCCCAACAACGAACTATCTCAGACGGCAATGGATGTGATTACCATTGTGTGGTATGTGGCCACATTTCTGGCACTGGCCGCCTTCTTTATGCTGATGGCCTGCTCGGATCGACGTTGTCGGGATATGCGTGGTCGTCAGGCGAATGCCACGCCCAATGAGACACAACGTGCACCGCCGACGCCGTCGCCATCGTACAGTGAATTCGCGCCACCGAGCTATGATACGGTTATCAAAATGCAACATGCGGCCAAGACGAGCATCTTTGTGATACCCTTCAACAGTGAGGGTAAGGGCAATGATGAGCCGAATGCGTCGCCCGTATCCCCCGCACCCGCCAGTATCTACACAATTGATGAGCGGCCAAAGCCGCAGAAGTGATAAAACTTTAGCTTTTATCCGTATGCGGGTTGTATAATTAACATCTCTGTGATATTTACTGTGCATGCACCTGGTGCCACATGCAAAATGCCCTCGTTTTGGCCAAAAGCGAAGCGAAGCGGACATTTTTGTAGTGCAGTGTGAAATGTATTATAATTAAATGTATTTTGTAGCAATTGTTAAAGATTAACTGTAAGCGATATATATATATATTACTATTAGTTGAAATGTTAACAAAGACTGAATGACAGAATATGCATACATATTTTGCAGTAGTCCATTTATATTTAGTATTTACTTTGCCTTTTCAATTACATTAATTCTAGCCTCTTGTTAACTAATAAAATGTATAAATTTCCATTTAAAAGCATGACGAATACTTCTTTGATTCTGGTTTGGGATGAGTATGCAAAGATGTGAGATTTCGCAGGAAAATGATTCACACGTTTGAAAAAAAACCGAATTTTTAAAATTTTTCCCAAGCAGTGCAAACAAGGGCTGCACATAACAGCAGTGCAGCACTGTTGAGGCATAACAAGCAGTGTGTGTACACGCAAACGCACAGCCTAGCAAGCAGTTTGAGTGGTTTCACCATACAAGTAGCTGGGACACAAACCATCAGGGCGCATTAAATGCATTTTTCGAGAGAGAAACTTTTTAAATTCCGATATTATCTATAAAATCGAACGCAAGTACACTATATACAAAAACAATACGTTTTCAATTTGTTATTGTACACTCCATTCGTAACCGTGATCCAAATATCTACATACACACCTCAAGTAGTTCATCTCCAGCTGTCGTTGACAGGTGTTCAAGCTGAATTAAGCAATTGTACTTCCCACCTTTAAATCCATTATTTTCCAGATAAGAACGTCAGTAATGTCAACAAGCTGCTGTTCTCTATTTGCTTTGCACGCAAAACTGAACGTGTTCAACATAAAAAAGTAAATGTTATCAGTTCGCGATGACTAAAGTCGGGGATTTTCAATGAAAGTTCTCGGCACACTGATTATTGTATCTCAGGGTCAATCAATAGTGATGATTACTTTCAAAACTGTTGCGGAGAGCATCCGTCAAGTTCATTCACAGTTTAGTTTCGTGAGCGAAACACACGTTTTATATTTTCTATACTAATTTGCACAACTTACAGCAATCCGAGATGCAGAGTACAGAGTACAGGGTATTTTTGTCTTCTAACATCAGCTCTTGGGCGTTTGTTTGTCTGATTCGCTAATGATGATTGTTATTAACTGGGGTCAGCCATCTGTTTAATGGAGAACATTCTTGCAGAGCATCACATGACGTTCTTCTGTTTCGTTCTTGCACATTTTGCTGAAATTGAATTTGTTTTCCAAAAAGACAAGACTTCTGACAGACGGACCCAAACACGATCACGAAATCCATGCGAGCTGATAACAATTACAGATTGTTTCTACATCCACACACACACACACACACACACACACACACGCGCGCGCTTTGGGAGCGCCGAACCAGATCATTTGCTTCAAAATGCAGTTAAATCACGTTACGCCTCGATAAATGCGGTTAATCATAAAGAAGTTTTACTTCTTGATTGCTTTATGGGCTGGCGCCTCCTCGAATACCCCGTAAACAAAGAGATGCCTAACGGGCTGTCATGCGGTTCTGCAAGTGTAATCTACACTCTCCTCAATGCGAAAAATGGAATTCAATTCGTTTCATATTGTTTTTCATCCTTTCTAGAAATCAATAGAAATTAAATATTAATTACAATTTTCAGGCAATTTCAAAAGTTCAAAACAGAAATGTACTCAAAGATAAGAACAGTATATGGAATACCCTAAAAAAATGAATCTCTCATTAAAATTAATTTTCTAACACTAAAAGATTTATAAATTTAATCCAAGTTCTGCTGTACAACCAACCAATTAGAATGTTTCATGTTTCCTGACAAAATAACAGAAAAGTGAGTCAAAGGCACTTAACCAACACTACTAAATGTACTCTTTTTTAAACTAGATTTTCCAACACTTAATACAATCCAAGTTGTTCTCAAGTTTTTTTCAAAGCATGTAGGTTCTTCTATTGCTTCCAGCACTTAATTTAAAATGTTTACAGGGTAACTAGCTGGCCGAGCATTGCTCAGCGCTGCAGCTGTTCAATAAATAAAAAGAACTCATAAATACGACTTGAATCTAAATATTTGATGGCCCATTCATTAAGTTATTGGCGTGCTTTTCAGAGCGCGTGAGTACATCAAATGAATTATGTTTTTATTTGGTTCGGGTTCGGGTTTGTTGTTGTTGTTGTTGTTGTTGCTGATGTTGCTGTTGTTGTTGTTGTTGTTGTTGCTGATGTTGCTGCTGCCGGCTGATCTTTTATGCGCCGCTCGTCGTGTTGGGTTTTCCTGGTGTTGTTTGCAAACGCGCCAATATTATTAATGGCTCTCACGCTCTTCAATTGAACTGAGCGCCCGCATACAGCACTATCTGCTATGGCTAGCAGCCCCCCTCCATATGACAGCCCCCCTTTCCCCATTGTACCACTGCCTCTGTCTGGTTGTCTGTTGTCGTCTCTGGCTCTCTGGCTGCCTCAGAGTCAGCCTCTGCCGCGTCGCGCATTTGTCGATCGTTCGTCGAGTTGTGCAAAACAACGTTTCGTGGTTTCTATTCGACAAAAATTTTTGTTGAAAAGCATCTGGAACGGATTTGGAGACGCTCAGTGCTACGCAAACCGTGCTATCGTGTGGATTACTTTGTATACGCAGTGATCAAAAAAATAAAAAATAAAATAACAAAAACTCAATACAAATAGAAACAAAATAAAAGATAACAATATGTCAAATACAATCAAAGTTCTTGGCCTGTGCCTGGTGTCGGCCCTAGTGCTGCAATTGGTCTGTGCGGATATCGAGACAAACGAAGTGAACGACAATAATAGTCCCGAATATAGTAAGTGCAGCTGGACACAATATAAATGGATTCCATAATATAATATAATATTTATGCAGTGCTTCAGGGCGTGCGTGTCTATCCCAATGATCGTCATTGTGTGCTCGTCGGAGGATTGTGTGTGCACACCAGCGATTGCAATCTGCCCACAACGAACAAGGGCCTGTGCCCCACCAGCGCCCATCTGGGCGTGGAGTGCTGTTACGAGTGTGAGTATGGAGCATATGAATAACTATTAACTGGAAATAGCGCCTTGCTTATAACGCCTTAACATCTCACAGTTATTTATCCAAACGCTTCTCGCAATTCCTAAACAAAATTCCCACCCAAACTACTATTTCCTATATTAATTATTGATTAATTGGTATTACTTGATGTACTCATCTGTTGTTCTTGTTTTCGTTTACGCTTTTCCCCACATCATCAACTGTGCCCAAAATATCTCTACTAACCACGTTCGTCTATCTTCGCCTATTGCTCCACTGTTCCGCCCCACCTACCTATCCCCCACGTTAACTCACCTGTAACTGCATTCCTTCCCCAACATCACCTGCCTGTTGCAGTGCCGGTTAGACCAGCGCCGTGTGCGCAACACCTGGGCGCCTGCATGGAGTACTGCGGCCAGGCACTGCAGAGACCTGGAACGGACTGCAAGAACGGAGAGTTTTGCTGTGTTTTGATCTAGACTACGTTATGTAATATAATCTATAAATCAATGAGCATCATTTGTCAACTGTAGACTATATTTAACGATACTTTAACTTATATATTGTACGAATAATTTTTATATGAAATATTTCTACTGTTCTAATAAAAAAAAAAACAAACACTGTAAATATTTTGAAAAAAAAAAAAAACGAAATGAATTTGAATTATTCACATAAAATTGAGAGTTCTGCTTAATTCATATCTGCTTATTTATAAGATTCTAGAAATTTGTCAAATGGGTTCTACTTTTTAAGATTTCGCTTCTCTCCAGGGTAACTTCTAGTCGAGCTTATAACTATGCTTGGCACTTGAGAATCGATCAGCTGAACTATAAAGCGCCGGAACGGAATGGGTTTTATATTATTTACAATGCTTCACTGTTTTACGAAATTGAGTTTAACTGGATTTTGTACGCCTTCCTGGTTGGAACTTATCTAATTAGTCTCTCTTAGTAATGATTGCTATTTAAACCTCGACCTGATGTCGCAGCAGACTCTGTTCAATATGTCAACCAAGAGGAACCTCTTATGTCTCGGCCTGGTATCAGCTCTAATGCTGCAATTGGTCTTGGCGGATATTGACTCATTCGAGGGAATTGATAGCGATGCTCCTTACACAAGTACGTGAATTTGAACTTATCCAAATGCTTATCGCATTTGCTAAACTTATTCAAGCAATTTCCTATATTTATTATTGATTGATTTATTGTTCTCGTGTTCACCTGTAACTCCACCGTTGCCTTCGAAGAGCCATGTCCTTCAAATCTGGCGATCTGCATGACGTTTTGCGCGGAGGCTCTGCGTATACCTAGAACGGACTGCGAGAATGGAGAGTTTTGCTGTACCCTGGTATAGTTTATATAGCTATAAATCAAAAGTTTATTCTTTAAATGATTATAACAAAATATATATACTTTTCATCGATATAGGCTCATATACTTGCTCAGATTTTGTTATTCATTTTGATATGGTATATAACAGGGTATCTTCTAGTCGAAGACATTGCTTTGCTTTTGTTGTTCAATAAACAATTAGTCTCATAAATTTCAGAGTATTTCAGAGCACGTGAGGAGCGTGCGCGTCATATGATCGGATGAATTAATTGGGGCTTGGGCTCGACGGGCTTCTTCAATGGACGAGCTTTAATGGAACCCAACGTTGCGAAGGCCGCTAAAATTATAAATAATTCTTAACTGAATATTTACAGCTTTGCTGGGTGGAGCCCATTTAATTAGACTCACATTCAAAGGCTTCTTCTGTCATCAGCCTTTGTCCATGGATGTCAGAATAAAAAGAGTTAACAAAAGGTAAGTTAGAATAAATGGGCTCTTCAGTATAAATATTATTGAAATTTGCTTTGCTAGCCTGTAAAGTTCTTCCTGATTTGTTTGCTAGTTAATTTTTAAGAATTTCTTTAAATATACTTTCAGTTTGTCGGCCAGCATTTGCTTTAATAAACTTTGCGTTTCTAAGTTCTATAAAATACCTCCCCATACCAGAAACAATTTAAACATAAATATTACACTCATCTTTTGAGTTTCTAGAAGAAAACCAATATACCCATAGTCTGTTTTGTGAACAGAGCATGAAAGGCCACATAAATTCTAATTGATTTGAAGTATTTGATGGTCCATTCAAATGATTTGCTTTGAGTGCATTGCAGAGCGCGTGAGTCGATCACATGTTATTGGACTCTTTGGTTGGGTTTAATTGATGCTGATCTAATTTAATAATGCTCCATCTTTAATTGTCGTTGGGCTCTCTCCGGCATCCAAATGCTCCTCTAATGATGTCGTGTGATCTGCAGATAATGTGAAGGCCTTTCATTAGAGCCCAGTAACAATATTCTTTGATACATCTATACGAAACACTTCAAGCATTTGATACTCTGTTTAGATAGTGAAAAAGAGTATATTGGTTCCGCTGCCCACCCAGTCAGCTGATGGCTGGACTAATCTCTATATGTCAAGCTGACATTATTAATAAATTTCTTCATGCGACAACTGTACGAGTAATTGTTGTGAAATATTTGAAGGGCTGTAATGAAATGCTCTGTCAATATTTTGAATTGTATTTCGAATACTGTCTCTCTCTCTCTCTCTCTCTCTCTCTCGCTTTCTCTGGCCGCTCACATGACTAATGTGTAAACATCGCACTGATTATGTAAGTGCTCGACGGGCTGAATCATAGCCAAAGAAAGAGCCACAAAGGTTGTCCACCAGGTCACTCAGGCGGTTCTTATCAGCGAGCCGCTCTCTCCGGGATGATATAGGGGCCCATGCTGATGATGATGATGATGATCATGATGATGAAGATGTTGATCATGCTGATGATGCTTGTGTTTGGCTTTGCGAGTGTCACGTGTCCATATATCAATGCCTGTACAGTTGTGTGGCCAGAGCTCTGCTTCAGATCAATCTTTAGCGTAATCTCTGTTCTATTTTGCCATCTATATATATGTATATATGTATATATAGAGAAGGAACTTTGTTATATATACCTTAGCGCGTATCGCCCCGTTTTGGGTTTCAATGTCAAGTTCAGCGCTGGTTCAAGCTGACAAGATTCCGATTCCGATTCCGATTCTCGTATATTCCATAGCCTCAGGCCTTTTTCAAGTGAATCTTTTTTGGAATCTGTGCACACATAATATTATAATATGATTTCTTGATTTTAAAAATAAACGTCCTTGCTGAGCATTCGCGTTCGAAACATTTATCAGACAACAGAGGCACGTACTCGTGTCTGGCTCTCAGTTGTACGTTTAGCTTTTATTATTTATGCTTTATTTATGTTGATTCAGTCTTCTTTTTTCTTTATTTTCTCTAAATATTTTATAGTTGCGCGCGATTTCGCAGCAAATTTTTAAATCTTTATTTCATGTGGTTATTTATAGTTGAGTTTTAGTTGAGTGGGCGATTGTCATATTGAAATCGTGCTGGACGGTTTTATATTTTTCTCGTAAGTTGAATGAATTGAGCCAAGGCAACATATTGAGTGAGTGGACATCACTTCAATATTTCTAAATAAATGTGCTCTCCATTTACTCAGTTAATCGCCATCCTATGTTGAAGGTGTTGCGGAAGGCAACTATGAAAATAAGGATTCAATAGGGCAACTAGTAATTCTTGGATTATTAGTTTTTACTCAAGTCTGAAGTGTTAATCACAGAGAGAGTTAATCAAAATGAGAGTAGTCATAGTAGAGATAAATCCAATTAAATCATCGTCAGCACAAGTCTTCTTATTAAAGCATAAAAATCATCAAGCCTCACTTGAATGCATGAGAATCACATAGAAGGGCTTAATTTAAAAATACGTTTCTTTTTCAAGTTTGCAGCGCAGCACAGTAAAATTGGGGTTGCGTTTGCTATAAGAGAACATATGTAGGGGTTAATACCCAGCAGAGATAAGCTTTTATCGTTAGTAGGTCAGTTTTCTAGATCCTCCGTCTACTTGACAGCTTACAGCCAACGGAGTCGGCTTGCGCAATCAGCGATTCCCCTTCATAAATAACATTTTGACAAAGATGTCTTTGAAGTCAATCGGACTAGACTAGGAAGCGCATCTTCCACATAGCGGATGATTATGGCGAAAAGTGAAAATGTGATTGAGAAGCTAATCGTACACAAAAAACAACATTTGAAGAGAAGTGTGCCTGCGCGCTGTGCTTGTCGCAATTCCTGAAAAATTTAATTAATTCCAGAGGTTTTTGTTTTAAGACGCCTTGAGAGATCTTGAGATCTTGAACGATGTGCAAGCTAACCCAGTTATGGCATGCATTACTTGGTATCTATGCACATCTTATACTATATTGCAATTCCTCAATTTGCACAACCTTCTCCAATGCCAGTGAAAACGACAAATGGCTTTGAACATGAAACGGCGGCCTTGTCTGGTGGACATTGAAACAGTGTAGATAGTCTGTGGGGCTATATAGTCTAGATGACCATGAAATCTACAACATAGGCCTGTTTCAATTGAGTCGAATCATTTAACTGCGTCTTAGAATATACAACTTGAGCTGTCTGTCTTGGTCGGGTCGCGGGGGGCAGGCGCGAACTATTCAATTGCGATTTGAACTTTTTCAAGTTGTTTTCATCGTTTTTCTTAATTTTTGCACAAATTCGCAATTGACTTGAGACAAATTTAGTGAAACAAAACACCACGTAATATTATGTATATAGAATCTTATAATTATTTGGTATATTCTCTATTTTTTGTTGAAACGTTCTTATCAGGCTCGGCTCGGCTCATGTCAAACAGTTCGTTATTTATGTGTTTTTGTTTACGTTTTCGGTTTCGATTCGAAAATTCGCTTGAACTATGAGCTAATTGTAGACTTTAATTTGCATTTCTGATACCCTACAACAATTGACAATGGGTATAATATTTTTGTGGAAATATATGTAACACACAGACCGCATAAAGTATAAAGGTATTTTCTTGCTCAGGACGTCGAGCTGAGCCGTTCTCGCGATATCTATTTGTCTGTCCGTTTGTTGACTTTTTCTAAATCGTATGCAGTATCAGTATATCGATAACATTTGATTTTCTCTTATACCATATCTCCCATTATCATAATATCGATTCATATAGATTTTCCACCTATTTTACACGCAGAATAAGCTTAACTGATTTTCCGACATATTCTGCCATATTCATAATATCGATAAATATCGATTTGAAAATAAAGGTACATGAATTACAAACTCTTTTATATCTTACTCATTCCGCAAAGAATAATGAAAATAGTCATTTTAATAGGTAGAGTAAGGCCACAATGAATCCCTGAAATTTTCTGCGCCGTACAGCTCAAATATTTTTGATACCTCACGCAATTCTCCACAGGGTATCTCTTGATGCAGCACTTTAAATCGGAACGCTCTAACTTGCATTTTTGTT